TCTGCCTTCAGTCTTTCCCAGCATCAGGGTCTTTCCAATGAGTTGGCTCTTTGCATCAGGTGGCCAAAGTACTGGAGCTCAGCTTCAGCATCAATCCTTCCAATGAATATTCAGGGTTGATCTCCTTTAGGATGGACTGATTTGATCTCCTTGCAGTCCAAGGGACTCTCAAGAGTCTTCTCCAACACCACAGTTTGAAAGCATCAATTCTTCGGTGCTGGCTCAGCCTTCTTTATGGACCAACTCTCACATCCACACATGACTACTGGAAAAATCATAGCTTTGACCATATGGACCTTTGTTGGCAAAGTAATGTCTCTGCTTTTTAATACACTGTTTGTCATAGCGTTTCTGCCAAGGAGAAAGTGTCTGAATTTTGTAGCTTCCGTCACTGTCTGCAGTGATTTTGAAGCCCAAGAAAATAAAGTCTGTCAGTTTCCACTTTCCCCCCTCTATTTGCCATGAAGTGCTACACATTAAAACATCTCCTTTTTACACACTAAGAGGAGACACAAAGATGAGAGTTGTGAATGTTCATGGTTTAGAGGAGAAATATAACCAACTGCAGCTGTCACTATTAACGATACAGTGTTAATAAGGGACATGACCTGGACTCAAAATCCCTGCTCTATGCAGCACCAGTCAGGTGGCCTGGGAAAGGAACTGTTTCAGGTCTAACCGCCTTATTTCTAACATACAGTTGGTACTTGCTTTATAAAGATGGTTGTCTTAAATAGACGTTTAACAACCTTCCCCTATTACCACTATTATTTCCACCAATATACCAAAACCCCACACATTATCCCACCTACTATCCACTGCAGTCCTTCAGTGCTTTAAGAGTGTTATGTGCTTCATTTCAGTTTGGCGCTTGCGAGAACTTATGACCTCTCCCTTGGTTTACTCCCTCTCTGAAGCTGGAATGCAGGGGCTTCTCTCTGCGTGAATTCTGAAATAGGTTTAAAAGATGACTATAGTTTTTGTCTGATTTAACCTATGATTATTTTAATAAACTAGCTTCTTATGTAATAATTATAAAAATTAACTGCATGCAAACATTTTCCACTTTATGGAATAAAGTTTCACATATATAAACTACACTAGTTATTTAAAGTAAGGAAGTCTTTCAAAGTAATCCTCTATTAAACTAGTTTTGTATGCATGTATAGTACTCATAGAATTAAGACTTAATTTTACCTTAATAGGACAATATAATATGGATTCCAGAGTGACAATGCCTGGTTTTAATCCTGCCTCTACTTTGCTTATTCATGTAAGCAAAGGGACCAAAAGCTGCATGGACTCTCTCTCCTTGGATTTCTTCCTCTTTATAAACTAGGGATAAGGATAGTACTTACCCATGTAGTGATGTTTTAAGCACTTCATAGGTTAACAAAGAGCTTAGAATTGAGCCTAATAATAAGCACTGTATTAATGTTAACTATTATCAGTCTTATGTTAACAATTTTTTAAGTGAAACAAAATATGTAACATAAAATTTATAATTTTAACCACTCTTATGTACACAGTTGGGTGTGCATTAAGTACATTTGCATTGTTGTACAATCACTGTCATTCATCTCTATTAGGCTGGTACAAAAGTAACTGTGGTTTCAGACCGTGAATTTTAAGTCATTATAACTAGGTTCAAACACATCTTTATTAATCAAAATAGGAACCACTACAAACAACACATTTTTTCCCAACTAACACATTTTTGTCAACAAGAAATATTTGTCTATTCCTGTAACGTAAAAATCCGTGCTTCAGGATTCAACAAACTCTTGGAAAACATTTTCCTTGCAGAAAATTATTGAGATGCTTAAATATGTGGCAGTCAACTAGCGAGAGGTCAGGTGAATATGGTGGATGAGGCAAAACTTCAGAGCCCAATTTGTTCAACTTTTAAGTGTTGGTTTTGCGGTATGTGGTTGAGGATTGTCGTGGAGTAGAGCTGGACCCTTCTGTTGACCGATACTGGCTGCAGGCGCTGCGGTTTTCAGTGCATTTCACTGACTTGTTGAGCATACTTCTCAGATGTAAGGGCTCTGCCAGTACTCAGAAAGCTGAATACCAGCAGCAGACCACCAGACGGTGACCATGACCTTTTTGTGCAGGTCTGGCTTTGGGAAGTGCTTCTGGAGCTTCTTCTTGGTTCAACCATTGAGCTGGCCGTCACCAGTTGTCACATAAAATCCACTTTTTGTCACCGGTCACAATAACCTGAGAAATGGTTCCTTGTTGTTGTATAGACTACGAGAAGATGACATTTCAAAGGAACAACTACTTTTGATTTGTAGTCAGCTCATAAGCCACCCACTTATCAAGCCTTTTCACCTTTCCAATTTGCTTCAAATGCCAAATAACCGTAGAATGGTTGATGGAGAGTTCTTCTGCAACTTCTTGTGTAGCTGTAGGATCGGCTACGATGACTGCTTTCAACTGGTCATTGTCAACTTCTGATGCCCTGCCACGATACTCCTCATTTTCAAGGCTGTTGTCGCCTTTGCAAAACTTCTTGAACCACCATTGCACTGTACTTTCGTTAGCAGTTCCTGGGCCAAGTGTGTTGTTGACTTTGTGAGTTGTCTCTGCTGCTTTACAACCCATTTAGGACTTAAAAATCATTTGAATTTGCTTTTTGTCTAACATCATTTCTACAGTCTAAAATAAATGTAACGTCATTAGCAAAAAAATATAAAGCAAGAAATGCACATTAAAATGATGTAAAACATAAATACATTTATTTAAGAATGTATATGAATATCAAAGAGCAGAGTTCAATAACACAAAGCCGCAATTACTTTTGCACAACCTAATAAATAATATTAGGATTAATATTTTAATAGAATATTTTCATCCTCCCAAACTGAAACACCGTACCTATTAAACAGCAATGCCTAGTCAGGCCCCACCCCCACCCCCTGGCAACCACCTCATTCTGCCTCTATGAGTTGAACTGGACTACTCCAGTATCTCATCTAGGTGGACGCATACACTATTTGTCCTTCTGGGTCTGGCTTATTTCGCTCAGCATAATCAATGTTCTTAAGGTTCATCCATAGCACGAGTCAGAATGTCACCGCTTTATGTGGTAAGAAAAATAATTCTTATATTTTTATTTTATCAGTCAATAGACCTAAAGTGAAAGTTTTTCTGCTCTCTTCTGGAATTAATAAGCTGGGGATTCTTTGAGGGTAAGAATCTATCTATTTTGGATACTTATGTATTGCCAACACCCAGCACAATGCTGGCAGTCTAATCCATCTGTATTTGTTAGAAGAACAAATGAGAAGTGTAAAGAGCAATACTCATGTGCCTATAATGCGTTTATTTCTATGCAAGAGAATATCATGAGTAATATAGAGTTTCTGGAGTAATTAGGTTTCCAAACAAAAGTCATAATGCTAGAATTTAAGGGTGGTGCTGTATATTAGATTCAGGAAAGAATGGAAAAGACAAAAGGAAGCTTGGGGGAATTTCAGAATGTCCTTCCATGTTTTGTTAGTCATGCATTAATAGTCAATAAATCAATCAGAAGTTTCTAAGATATGTGCACAGTATCTATTCTACTGAAGTACTATGGTTCTGAAGTACTATCACAAACACCTATCATCAAAGAATTTTGTATTGTGTGCAACACACTGCCCAACCCATCTACTAACTGGCATACTTAAGACTTCTAAGGTATCTTTTCACTCTTTTTTTCCTTTTCACTCTTAAAAGAGATATTTTAAGATTTTTCAGAAGGTCCAAAGCCATTTTAAATCAAGAGAAGTTTCTGGCATGTAAGCCATTTTTGTTGGGTTTGTTTAATACTTTGGGGGGCATATAGTGTAACTAAAAGCAGAGCAGTGGGTTTTACAGTGATCAATTTTAGAGACAAGGTTGATTGCTACTGAAAATTATTTTCAGGGTTCAAGTAAGTGCCTGGATATTTTGGTTAGATGGCAAAAGGACAGCTCATGACAGATAAGATCAGGTGGCCTGGGTGTGATATCAGTAGTATTTTATGTGGGTGAGGAATGGCCAGAATTCTAGAAACCTTTTAGAAAATTCTGGCTATGTCCTCCCATGAAATTTCTTCAGTTTCTGCATAACCAAAAATATATTAAGGGGTAAAGCAACTAGAATTCAAAACAGTGGTTAATTACTGAGCATTTATTCTACACAAAGCATTTTGTTAAGTGCTTTCTATTTAATGATCCATTTAATTCTTAGAACAATCCTTTGAGGAAGGTATTATCATATTGTCTTACTGATGAAGACAAGGAGGCCGAGGTTAAGTATGTTGTTCCAGGTCAAAGGTCCAGGTTTGAGGAGAAAATAATAAAATTTGCCCCCAATATTGGCTTTCTACTTTTAGTCCATAAAACTAGAAGTGACTAAGTAGAAGAAACACCTATTACTTAGTCAGATTTGGGCCGGGAACAGCTGCCATTAGATGCTGAAAAAACGTGCTTAGAGACATTTAAAATATAACACATTTAATAACCCCAAACTTCAGAATTTCATAAATGCTAATGTAAAACCCAACCCAAACATGATCAAAGACGAGCAGCTGTGAGGTTATTCTCATTGGGAAGGGTAGGGGAGAGAAGTAAGTTGTTGACTTATATTAAATTTACTATAACAAGTGGAATCAAAGAGCAAGAATACTTGTTCATTGTGTCATGACACCTATTTACTCCATTCTGGGACTTCTGTATAAAAAAGTAGCCCTTTATATTTAGTAAACCCCATGCAACTATGTGAAGAAGACCAAGATAATAATATCCTTGCTAATAAATAGAAATACCAAAATACCACATCCTAATTTAGGAGATCTCTCTTCAAATTGTTGTCCTGAAGGTTATGAGATAAAAACAAATGCCATCGTAACTTACTCAGGAAAACCAGGGGGCAGTTTTCACTCCCAGATGGCTAGGTATTTGGGTGTGGCTGGCAACGAGGAACAGAACCAAGTGTCTAAACTCAAAGTTCAGAACGAACGGAGCGCGTTACCTTTGCAAGTCAATCTGCCTCTCTGTTGGCGCTGCCTTTTTGGCTGGGTCTTGCAGTTTGGGTGCTTTGGCATTACCTGCTTCCATACCTCCAGGGCTCTCCTGACTGACTGCAGCTCTCTTTCTTCCCTTACTGAGAGGTTTATTTATATCATCATTTTTGGTTGCATTGCCCTGAGATTCAGATTTGGGTCGACGTCCTCTCCTGGGTTTTGAAGGGGCAGGTGGTCCTGATTCATCTGCTTTCTCATCTGTTTTTTGTTGAATATTCTCTGCACCAGCTGCTGTTACTGTTCTTTTCTTTCCTCGGTCACTGCTGATGTTGCCCTGGGCAGACTGATCAGAATTAATCTCCTAGAAGAGCAGAAAACAATTTTATGAACAGAAATTCCTTAAATATCACTGATCTGACTAGAAGAAGCCTTCTGCAAGTATTTCAGTTGGGATTCCAGGGTTTCTAACTCACTGTTTATATCCCACGAGGAATGTAAATTCCTTAAGGTAAGGACTGAACATGATACCTAACCATAGTGCATGGCATATACAATATACTCAGTAAATATGTATTAAATGGCACAGACAGTTATATAAGAGAAAACCTACTCAGCTATTCCTTCACACTCATTTTAAATAAAAACGTCCTTTTTATTACTAGTATGTTCTTAATGTTAGCACTTTTCAAAAGCAGGGAGGATGTTTTCATAGTTCAATGTTATTTTCTTTCTCTATGATGCGTCTAACTGTAATAAGCTTCGTAATTCTGTAACAAAAAGTTCTTTAATATCTCACTTCACTCACTCATTCAAACTTTTGTCTCTTCTTATTGTGTCAGTCATTAACCTATTTTTTTCTGAACATTCTCTTTTGTTCCTCTTTCTAGTTTGGCATACATATTGTCATCTAGAATGTTTAAGCTAATAAAATTCCATTTAAGTGTAACAGACATAATGGACATTAGGAGGAATAATAGTTTTCAGGATGAAAGTGACCTTTATATGAATGAAATTTAGGAATCAACTGTAATAATTTGAATTGATTCAAGGGAAACAAAGGAGCACTACCATCATCCAAAAAAAGTAAGACTATATCTTTTCAGTTAATTAATTTTCATCGCCCCTCAAAAATGTTTTCAGAATGACCGGAAACACATATAAATCTTTCATGTTTCAAGATAATTTACTTAAATGAAAACTCATGAAAGTAGTATCTTAAGTTAAGAAAATCCAAAAGTCAGCGTTTTATGTTGAGGATTAAAACATTAAAGTAAACTTTATCTTAAGAGAACAGATAACACATGAAGGAAAAAGAGTAAGGTGGTCCACACAGGGTAAACTGTTAAACAGTACACAATGGATTAGAACAGAGATATGCAAAGTCATCTGGTGAAAGATGGTGATTCCTGGGCAAAATAAAAAGGCCAATAAAGATGACTAAGTGTGGTTAAACCTGAGGTAGAAACCATTCACTCAACTTAGTGTCTACTACGGGTAGCGGCTGCTGTGCAGAGACTGGGGAACAAGACTGATGCTGTTCTGGTCCTCAAACAGATGTGCATAATAGATGATTAATCTTTTTTAAAGAGTAAACAAACATTTGAGTACAGACTACCCTAAGAGCTAAAGAGATTAAAGAAAGGGGCATTCAGGAAAAAAAACCAAAACAAAGGAAACATCAATTCGATTATTCTGGGGAATATTAAACAGTGTCAGAGCAAGGCTTACCGTGTGAAAAGTAAAGTGCTCTAGACAGATGCAAGAGGCAGCGTGGAGCACCCAGAGGAGGAGAGAGCTTGGAGGGTTTAAGGAGCCTGAAGCGACGCGAGACTGGCCTAAGGCAGGAGAAGCAAGTGTGGCCAGACCATGAATGCCTTATGGGACCTTTAAGAAATCTGATTTTATTCTTAAGTGCTAATAAAAGTTGTTGTACAGTTGCTAAGTTGTGTCTGACTCTTCTGTGACCCCATGGACTGCAGCCCACCAGGGTCCTCTGTCCATAATAAAAGTCACTGATGGACTTTAAAGAGAGGGCAAACATAATCCAAATTATATTTTAAAAAGATCACATTGGGTGCTACATGTGGTGACTAGATCAGAAGGAAGCAAGAGTGTTAACAAGAAGGCATAACTACTACAGCATCAGAAGCTGAGTTACTGAGTTCCCTGGTGGCCTGGGTTTAATCTCTCGTTAGGGAAGTTCCCACAAGCTGTGCGGCATGGCCAGAAAAAAAAAGAATAGAGATAATTTAAAAACGGGCAAATACGAACAAGCAATTCACATAAGAGTACATCCAAATGGTCAACAAAAATAAATATAAATTAAAACAATAGTGGGGCATTAGTTTTGATACTTTAAACGGAAAAAGATTCAAAAGAACTATAAAACCAGCTGATGGTGGATATGTAGAGAAAAAAGTACCCACTTAGTAGAAATGTCAGGTGTTCTAACTTTCTGAGAAAAACAATATGGAAATATCTAAAATCTCTAGTATTTTACTACTTGACCAAGCAATCCCACTGCTAAAACTCAGCCCCTAGAAAAAAAATCACCAGTAAGTTTAATGCATCACTGTTTGCACTGACAAAGAAGGGGGAAGGAATTTATGTGTATACATGTAAGAAAATGATAATTCTGGAGAGAAACAATTGAACACACAAGATAAAGCTGTTTAATAGGGAAAAAAAGACTATTAAAAGTCATGTACATGACCATATTTACATATTTATGATCATGTATATGTGCATATGTATAACACACGCACACAAAACCCAAATGAAGAGGCGTGAAGGCATAGTCATGCCTATAATCAGCCACAGGCGTGAAGAAAAAGACTCTAAAGGGCAACACTGGCAGCACTGCTTGCCTGCATCCATGGAATGGTAGTATCTTGCTTCTTTTAACCACTTCCCTTATTCATTCTTCATATATACAATTTGATTTCTCTCACAGAGTGAATAATAGGAAATATTCTGATCTGTAAACATGCATATCCAATCTGTTGAATAGTTTTTATTAACTAATTAACTGGTTTAGGCATCAATCTCTTTGAGAAACACTCCCTTAGATCTTATCTTCTTTTAATATACTAGCAACACAGTGTTTTGAGCCTGAAAGACTGAGGACCAGATCCTGGAAAGAAATGATCATATCAACTTATGGGAGATCTGACTGGGAAGCTATCAGGCTTTTGCCAAAATACGACCTCTTTAGGCAACACTGAATCGTTAAAACATTCTTTGGAAGTATGAAAAAGTTAAAACAGGGTTTGGAACAAAACAATATAACACTACAGGTCAATCAAAGTCACACTCTGGCCCCTCAAAAATTAGAATCTAAAGATCCAATTTATCTTCTATACATTTTACCGCAGAGGTCGGGAAGGTTACAGATAGCTGCTTGCACTAGGTAAACATCTGCATCCCTCTAGTACCTCTTAATACACATTACAGGCATGTTCAATTAAAGTATCGGTACCAATACGCATTTCTGAATCTAAGCATGTTTATGTTGAATGTTTAATTATATAAAAAAGATCCCACAATATCTAAATCTATTGGCTTCTGAATTCTAAGACCTTTGAGAGGTTCCCTGAATCTACTGATGTACTGAAGTTCAGCCAGCAATGAGCCCAAGTATGGACAGTGAGAGACTGACCAAAAAATGAACCTTCTCAGGACTTCCCTGGTGACCCAGGGGTTAAAAATCCACCTTCCACTCCAGGGGACACAGGTTCGATCCCTGGTCAGGGAACTAAGATCCAACATACCACAGGGTGACTAAGCCTGCATGCCTCAACTAAGACTCAATGTAGCCAAATAAATATATATAAAAAATATGAACCCCTATCTGTTGAGTTTGAGTTTAGACAATGAGTTTTGATAGGAAAAGTTCAGCTACTGTAGTATGACTGTATAGTCCTATATTTTATGTACCTGAGGGTAGTTACTAAAACATCTTACAAATATCATAAATATATGGTGTGTAACAAAGTATGTCAAGAATATGATTCTATGGGAAAAAAAATATTAGTATTCTTATACTATTCCAACTGAGGAAAGTTACCCTCCTGCCAATGTTACATTCCTTTTTATCCTGCTGAAAAATTAAGAATATTGGGAGCTACAGATAAAAGATCCACCATCAAATAAAGAATGTAGTTGTTAAATAAACAAAAACTCAAACATTAAGGCCAGCTCATAAGTTTAACAAGAAGTACTGATCTCTGGCAGGAGTCAATGAAGTATTGAAAACAAGATCTCAAAACCCCTTAGTTCCTAATCTTTCAAGGTACTGGGAAAAGTAGTGTGGTAGAAGGATACAACTATGGGTGACCACATAAACTCTGGTTAAATGAAGAAAGTGAACAGAATCATTTCTGGAGAGAGGAAGTACAGTAAGGATAGGTACACACACATATACACTAATGTACTGACTGACGTGGGTTTTTCACTCCCATCATGAAACTGTGATAAGAACTGTATGGGAGAAACTCTTGGAAAATTTACCTTATTCTTCACTGGGTCAATATTCTTTACTGGTGTGACAGAAATAATTCTTACAGGGTTCTCCTCATTTTCACTAACACCAGTTTCTGCTGCCTCTGAACTCTGTTCCCTGTTGAAGAGAAACAAACCAAAGCTTCTTTATTTGATCACATGAATACAAAGTTTACTCTCTCACTATACCAGTAAGAAAACAGGAGGCTTAGACTGGCTTAGAAGGCTGGCCAAGTTAGCAACTCTTATCTGTGGCTGCAGCCTATTGCCCTATTACACCAAGTTACCAATTTCCATTTAACCTTACTAATGTAAGAAAGAAATGCCTGCCTAAAATCACCTGATAGATTAGTTGTCAAGAAACAAACAACATAATTATTCTATAAGCCTATCTGTTGGGGGTGGAAAACGCTAAAACCAAGCAAAAGCAAGCAGATTAAGACTATCAGTCTGTGTTCTTAATTAGCTCTGTAAGACAGGGGGCTGCTAGAAAAGGCCACGGGAGACATGTTTGACGCCCACCATCCATGTAAACCACTGATGTCCCACATTAATATTTTTATATCTTTGGATACTACCACTAAAAATGTGTTTAAAGCACTACTGGTTGAATTTATTCTTAAAATATCATGAATCAGAATGAAATCTTTAAAAGCCTCATTATTCAGTGTTCGTAAGAGTAGGGTCAGGTGGAAATTTTTATGCAGTAGCTAAGACAGTAAACACCTGACATATGAAACATAGAATCTTTAACAATAAGTAGAAAATGTTATTAACAATGTTACCTTTATTCATGCTATATTAAATCTCTTGAGTTAAAAAGCATATAAATTTTTTAAAAGTTATATATTTTCAGTTTTTCTAAGAGTTAAATTTGCACATATACACACACACTTCCAAGTAAATTAGTTTTACTGTACCACAAATTTTTAACTTTTCCATACATTTAGAATGCTAAATGATTTCCCAATGTGTACTACACACTCAATCACCATCATTAATTATCCTAAAATTCAGCATTATGTTTTTCACTAAGATGTTCCCTAAAGTCCATTTTTGTGATGTGCTTTAAGAAAAGGAACTGAAAGATGAATCAAGTAGTGAGCAACTGTAACAAAAACAACTGAAGAAAAAAAAATTGCCTTGGTCGATTTCCGGTGGAAGGGTTCAGCTCTGAATTTACATTAATATTGCTTCCGGTCTCAGCTCCAGTGCTTCTAACATACGGTTTCCTTCCCGTTGCTGACAAAGGCTTGTTTACAGCACCTAGCACTCCAGCAGGTTTTGGCTAGAAATTACATATATGCATGTTATTTTATACCTTACTAAAAGGAATACATACAAATTTATACATATGTAAAGGATTATTGTTTTAAGCCCAGGAATTGTTGTTAAAACAGTTGCTGTTGGCAAGTTAAATCCTAAATTTATTAGAAATGATAATTCTGTAATACTGTGTATGAACATAATTTGAAGTCAGAAGTATTACTTCTTTTAAAAATATCTATGCAAAAAAAAAACCTATGCAATATTTAATTATTCTTTATTGTTCAGTTAAAATAAAAAGTACCCCTAAAACACAGTGAAATACATAATGAGTAAGACAGAGTAAAATGACTTACAGATAAAAACTACTGAGTGTATATAGTTTTAACAGTTTAGATACTTTATCAAATATTAAATTTCCTTTTTCCTTTTGCTCTTTTAGATGTCATATTACCTTTATAGGATATAAACTAACATTAGTACTTTAAAATTATTTCTTTTCTTTTTCTTACACATCTAATCATTTTTCAGGGAAATCTGCTTTGTGAATTCTAAATAACTTGAACCCTATCTGTACTGACGAGGACACATGGTTTTAACTCAAAAGTGGTTCATGGCAGAAAAAAGTCCAAGAGAACAAATGCTTTAGATGCTACAATCCGCAACATGATGTCTAAGAATCAGGAACTATAAAATCTGAGGGACATTTAAAGGTTAGCAGTAATACACACAGGAGATAAAGATCCCCCAATTATCTAGTATATAATACCTTTCCTGTTAACAGAAGTACTCTTGTCTCTTCTGAAATATAACTCTTGTCATTACAGAAGTCCTATCAAAAAAAAAAAAAGCAAACATGAACATGCATATTTTTATTGTTCATAAAACTTTTCAGGCATTATGCCTTACAGTAACAGGTTCATTTATGCTACGAAACCTATCAAATCATCAAAGCATATTTCATGAACCATACTGTAAGTTTAGTTTTAAAATTAAATCAAGTGACACACAAGACTTAGTCAAATTTAGAGATAAATTACGCAAATCATTTTTTGTTTTTGGCTGTGCCACATGGCTTGTGGGATCTTAGTTCCCTGACCAGGGACTGAATCCAGGATATTGGCAGTGAAAGTATGGAATTCTAACCACTGGATCGCGAAGGAATTCCCTTAAATCACATTTAAAATAAAATATACTTCTATTACAGTTTCCAGTTTACTCAATGAACTGTGTTCACCTACACTCTATTATAAAATTTACTTCTTTTTTTGGCTGTGTCACACATGTGGGATCTTTCCCACCAGGGGTTGAACACAACCCCTGTAATAGACATGCAGACTTTTTAACCACTGCACTACCAGGGAATTTACTTCTGTGCTCCTAAAGCACCCAAAATGGTACTATGCATATATCAGGCACTTAATACTCACTAAAAGAACCCCACGTAGGATCTCAAGAAAACTGTTTTTGTTTGGTTGCTAAGTTGTCTCTGACTCTTTTGCAAATCCATGGACGGTAGCTCACCCAGGCTCCTTTGTATATAGGACTTCCCAGGTAAAAATACTGGAGTGGACTGCCATTTCCTTCTCCAGGGGATCTTCCCAGTCCAGGGATCAAACTCCTTTCTCCTGCATTGGCAGTGGATTCTTTACCACTGAACCACCAGGGAACCCTCAAGAAAATTATCCTTACTGAAACAAAAAAAACTTTTACTTTAATTAAAAATATTTTGTTTCTTAGAACCATAAGTAGACTGTGCAAATCATAAAGGTAAATACACCATCAAAATCTAATAGTCGATCATAATGTTCTTGGGCTGCAGTAATATTAACTAGTTAATAAATGAATTTAAACCAAACGTGGACACTGATGATACTTTCTTAAAAGTCATATCTATAAAAACTTAAAGAGTTCAATCTGATCATGTGGTGCCTCTCTCTGTTAATTACTCTGGGAATAGCACAAGTAAACCACAAGTCACAGAAGCAGAATGATCTAGTATCATCCGGATGTTCATCATTTCTAAGTAATCACCTTAAAAATTATTTTTTCTTTTATTAAGTTGACCCTCACACTAGTGTCATAGAAGAGAACAAAACGGCTTAAATGTGCCTATGAAGAAATCACACTTTCGATATGCACTCTAAGCAAGCCTGTATCTTTCTTTTCTTCCTTACAAAGGCTTCTATGCAGCCAAAATAAATGTTACATCACGATATACTATAATACCACTAGGCTCACGATCTTAATATCCCTAATATTCTTGTGTTTGAACTTATACCATATGAAAAGCAGTATATTAGAAAAGGAAATGAGGAAAGATGCTCATTGAAAATGGAAAACTAAATTATTATTATGAAGGTTAAAAACATTGTAAGTTTCATATCAAAACAAAAATCAATTATAATGAGATATAGTAACAAACAGCAATGCAAATTCTTGAAGACAGGACTATTATTGTATGTAAATTCTATATAGATACTATTCTAGTCATAATAGCCCTGGGTCAGCAATAAAGTAAATTTAAATTCAAGAGCTCATGTAGGAGTATTTATAAAGACCAGTAAATTCAATTAAAAAGCAAGTAACTTTGCAATCTTTATTATTCCTATTAAAACCAGGCATAAATTCTAAGTATTAGATCATTAAAGAAAACTGGATACAAATTTTTGTTTAAATTTTTAAATGCCATATTTTTTTCATTAAAAATATTGATGTTTTTAAAAAAAACAAATGACAGGAAAGTTAAAACTTCAAAAATATCACCTTCAAGTGGATAATAAATAAATGCAATCTGTTTAAAAAAGAAAAAAAGTCTTAAAATCCAAATTAGCTGGAAAAATTTAAAGAGCTATTAATTGGCTGAAAAATTTACTTACATGGAAAACTTCATTTGTTGATAGCAGAATAAACATACTATGTGTTATTAATAATGTTGTCATTATTGTTCAGTCGCTAAGCCAGGTCCTTACATGGAAAACTTCATTTGTTGATAGCAGAATGAACATACTATGTGTTATTAATAATGTTATCATTATTGTTCAGTCGCTAAGTCAGGTCCTTACATGGAAAACTTCATTTGTTGATAGCAGAATGAACATACTATGTGTTATTAATAATGTTGTCATTGTTGCTCAGTCGCTAAGCCAGGTCCTTACATGGAAAACTTCATTTGTTGATAGCAGAATGAACATACTATGTGTTGTTAATAATGTTGTCATTGTTGCTCAGTCGCTAAGCCAGGTCCTACTCTTTTGTTGATAGCAGAATGAACATACTATGTGTCATTAATAATGTTGTCATTGTTGCTCAGTCGCTAAGCCAGGTCCTACTCTTTTGTTGATAGCAGAATGAACATACTATGTGTCATTAATAATGTTGTCATTGTTGCTCAGTCGCTAAGCCAGGTCCTTACATGGAAAACTTCATTTGTTGATAGCAGAATGAACATACTATGTGTTGTTAATAATGTTGTCATTGTTGCTCAGTCGCTAAGCCAGGTCCTACTCTTTTGTTGAGAGCAGAATGAACATACTATGTGTTATTAATGATGTTGTTATTGTTGTTCAGTCGCTAAGTCAGGTCCTACTCTTTTGTTGATAGCAGAATGAACATACTATGTGTCATTAATAATGTTGTCATTGTTGCTCAGTCGCTAAGCCAGGTCCTACTCTTTTGTTGATAGCAGAATGAACATACTATGTGTCATTAATAATGTTGTCATTGTTGCTCAGTCGCTAAGCCAGGTCCTTACATGGAAAACTTCATTTGTTGATAGCAGAATGAACATACTATGTGTTGTTAATAATGTTGTCATTGTTGCTCAGTCGCTAAGCCAGGTCCTACTCTTTTGTTGAGAGCAGAATGAACATACTATGTGTTATTAATGATGTTGTCATTGTTGTTCAGTCGCTAAGTCAGGTCCTACTCTTTTGTTGATAGCAGAATGAACATACTATGTGTTATTAATAATGTTGTCATTGTTGCTCAGTCGCTAAGCCAGGTCCTTACATGGAAAACTTCATTTGTTGATAGCAGAATGAACGTACTATGTGTTATTAATAATGCTGTTATTATTGCTCAGTCGCTAAGCCAGGCCCTACTCTTTTGCAGCCCCATGGACTGCCTGATAGGCTCCTCTGTCCATGAGATTCCCCAGGCAAGAGTACTGAACTGGGTTGCTATTTCCTTCTCCAGGAGGTCTTCCCAACGCAGAGACAGAACCCACGTCTCCTGCACTGGCAGGTGGATTCTTTACCACCGGCCACCTGGGAAGCCCCATTATTAACGATACCACTAATTAACACTTCCTTTTGACTAACTCTTATAGACCTAGGCATACTACTAATAGTTCACAGGTATTATCATCATCCGCATTTTAGAGATGAAGAAATTGAAGCTTAGAAGAGTTAACCTGGGCGCGTGTTCAGTGGTTCAGCTGTGTCTGACTCTCTGTGACCCCACAGACTGTAGCCTACCAGGCTCCTGTGTCCGTGGGATTTTCCCAGCAAGAATACTGGAGCGGGTTGCCACTTCCTCCTCCAGGGGATCTTCCCGACCCGGGCATCAGACCTGTCTCCTGCATCGCAGGCAGACCCTTAACCACTGAGCCACCGGGGAAGCCTGTTAACTGCGAATCCAGGCTGTCAGCTGCCAAGACCGATTCCATTCATGCTAACACTTTATTTCATATACAGATATGTATAATTTACACTCTGCCAAACATTTTGTTTACTTTGTCTGAAAAAAGATTAACAGTGTTTTAACAGGACGAGATGAAGACAGGTTAAGAAATCTGAAAATCCCTCTTACACGTCAGAAATACCCAGAAGGAATAGCTCACACAGGCACACCACCAAGCTTGAGTGGTATTATCTACTCTGTAAGGTGAGAATGACATTTTTCAGGCTTTGGAAGACAGTCTCCCCTTTCTTGATAAACTCACAGAGGTATTTTTTTTTACTTTGTAGTCAAGACAGTCTAGTATTTGCCACCAGGATGACAGTAACAAATTCAAATAAGTTCAGTATGGTAGGAAAATGAAGAGAAGAAAGTTACCTTTTCAGGTTGTGTAAAAAATTTCACTGGCAGGACTGGATCCTTTGGAGACTCTGCATTGCACAAAGCACTTTTACTATTTATCACGCACAGGGCCACATCACACACTGTGTAAAGTTTCTAGGGAGGAAACAAATCACGTAACTTTCAGGAGTGCAAAATAAGCACAGGTACCAATTCTACCCAATAGGTAACATGGAATCAACACAGTAATATGGGGCTACTGTTTATCCCTTGAACATTCTGCATGCTGTCCCTGGCACTTCTGATGTAGCCTCCCAGTAACAAGAACAAAAAAGTCCCCTTCATTTTACTTTAACATGAATGCCAAGTATGCATTAAAAACAACAAACCAAACTACAGGAAACATACAAGAAGAATATCTACTGGTCTGTAACACTTACTTACTAGTTCTTAAGACAGCATAGTTATAAATTTCATTAGTTCTTATCCCCATGCTCTGTACATATTTTAATATCTTTTTCAGAGTAATAAACATTTTTCAAAATTCAATGTAATGAAAGAAAAAGTACATATTTTTATAAACTATAAGTATATATTTTTATAAGCATTCTGTAATCTATTTATTATACAATAGGAAAAACAATTGGGACAAGGGTCACATTGCTTTTTCCTTGTAATTTCTTAATAGTCACTGGCCTAATATATATCTTACTTCATTTGTCTTGGATTCATCTGGAGACTGGGCATCTTTTGTTAGCTTGATGTTCTCTGCCATCTTTTTCATAAAGGCATGGCTATTATTTTCATTCTTTGTCATTAAAACTTCAAGCATGAACCAGAGGCACCTAAATGAAACATGTTTACTTAGTAAAGAGACTAATGGAAGGTTCTTTTGCTGAGTGGATTAAATAGTTTACTGGCAAGTTCTGTTGTTTGAGTATAAAGAGAGTAAAACACTAATGATTAATAGAAATATCCTGTTAATAATATTCAATTAAAATAGAATATAACATCACAAATAACAAACATAAACATATAGCTTAATATGAGAAAGCCCGACAGTTTTATGAGGTATACACATGAAGAGTCACTCTATAGGTATTTAATAAACATTTAGATGACATAATGTGTATTAATATCCAGCAATGACGAGCAAACCAGCATACAGCACAGTCTTGCCATTTTGACCATCTGGAAGCTATTTATCCTATGATCTAGGGCTCGTATGTAATTTTACTGTGACATAACTCTGACTTTCATGTGTTATGAGACTGGTGTGCATATAACCAGTAATTCAGCTAAATAGTCACATTTCAAATCATTTTTCTGTTTTCTACTTGTTATTTTATAGTCATTTAAATACATAAAGTGTCTGGTGACACCTGAATTTCTAAGTAAAAGTGAATCCCAAATTGGGATGAAGATTAGGATCATCTGAGGAACTTACATGGCCAAATCTAGAATCAAAATCTATTATTAAGTTCCCATGATGATTTTTTAGGCAACCACCATGGACTTACTGTTTTACTCCATCAAGAGGAGAAAAAAATCACTTGACGATAATCTGTGTGTACTTCTTTGCCTATAGTACATACATATGTTTTAAAAGACCACTGTAAAGGAAAATTTAGCATTAGGTTGATGGAGTTTGCTTTTATAGACCTGTCTTGCAATAAATACTAAACTCAGTCCTTCAGGCTGAAATGAGAGAACACTAACAGTAACTTGAAACCATAAGAAATAAAAAACACTGGCAAAGGTAACACGGCTACAATACAAGGCCAACACTGCTGAGCTTCTGATATGTAAATCCTTTTTAGTTTTACTTATTTATCCCCCCCCTTTTTCCCCTTTTTAAATATATGATTTAAAAAGCAAATGCAGGGAATTTCCTGGTGGCTCAATGGTAAAGAACCTGCCTGCCAATGCAGGAGACGAGCGTTTGATTCCTGATCCAGGAAGATCCTATATGCTGCAGGGCAACTAAGCCCTTGTACCCCAATTGTTAAGCCTGTGTGCCAGAGCCCAGGAACCACAACCATTGAGCCCGTGTGCTGCGACTACTGAAGTCCATGCGCCTCAGAGCCTGTGCTCGGCTAAAGAGAAGCCACCACCGTAAGAAACCTGAGCATTGCAACTAGAGAGCAGACTCTGCTCTCTGCAAATAGAGAAAAGCCTGCCAGCAACAAAGACCCAGCACAGCCAAAAAAAATTAACGAAATGCATAAAAATAATCACATATATGTGAAAGGAAACAATATATGAGAGCAGAGAAGGAAGTGGCAACCCACTCCAGTACTCTTGCTTGGAAAATCCCATGGATGGAGGAGCCTGGTATGCTACAGTCCATGGGGTTGCAAAGAGCTGGACACAACTGAGCGACTTCACATTTCACAAGAGCAGAGTATCTTTACACTAGTGAAATTAACTTGCTATTACTCAAAATAGGTTGTTACAACTTTAAGATGTTAAGAGTAATTATTAAGAAAATAACTAAAAAATATATCCAAAAGAATAAAAAAAGTTCCCTACAAAAAACAACTACCGCTGACCCTTGAATAACACAGGAGTTAGGGGTGCTGACCCTTCACACAGTAATTTGCATTTAACTGAGTCTTCGCCCACTGTGTAATCAGTTCCTCTGTATATGAAGTCTGTCTGTATCTGTGGGTCCACCAGCTGTGGATCTTGAGGCACTATAATATTTATTATTGAAAAAATCTGCATGTAAGTGAACCTGCACAGTTCAAACCTGTTCACACTGTTAAGTTCAACTGTAAAGAGAAAAACGAGAGGCAGTAATGGAGCAATTAAATAACAAAAACACATAAGACAGAGAAAACTGACAGTTATACAGCAGAAGTAACTTTTCCCTTATCAGTAATTACTTTAAGTGAAAATAGATTAAATCTCCCAATTAAAAAGCAGAGTAGATTAAGGGAGAAAAAATATACATATATATCTTACCTGTAAGAGACTCATTTCAGATACAAAAACACAAAGTAATTGAAAGTTAAAGGATGGGGAAAAAATGCATTTCATACAAACAGTAACCAAAAGAGAGCTGGTGGCTATTTTATAATTAGACAAACTGGATTGCAAAAGACCCAGAAGGACTGTATTTGAAGAGGATATGACTATTATAAACACAAACCTAACAACAGAGCCCCAAAACCTATGAAGCAAAAACTGACAGAAGTAAAGGGAGCAATACATGCTCCACGATAAGAGATTTCAATACCGTTTTCAGTCATGGACAGAAAACCAGAGAGGAGACCAGAGGGAAGACAGAGACCTGGACAACACTAAGCCAGTCAAACGCATCAGGCACGACGGAACACTCCAGCCCACAGACTCCTCAGGTGGACTTGGGACATCCTCTAGGGCAGACCGTAGCCTTAACCGGCCTCGACAGACATTAGGCCACAAGGCTTAAAACCGGTCTTTTCTGACCAGAACAGCAGGAAACTAAAAGTCAGTAACAGAAGGAAAACGGAAAATTGGAAAACTCACACATACACGGAAATTAAACCACACTCTCTCACTTTTTTTTGGCCATGTAGCTTGCAAGATCTTACGTCCCTGACCAGGGACTGAACCTGGGCCCTTTGCAATAGAAGCGTGGGGTCCTGAGCACTAGACGGCCAGGGAATCCCCAAACCACACTCTGAAAACAATCAACGGGTCAAAGAAGACATCACAAGAAGAATCAGAAAATACCTTAAGACAAATAAAAACACAGCATACCATGCTAACAGGATTCAGCACTGGCAATGCTGAAAGGGAAATTTATATATGATAACAGCCTATATTAAAAAAAAGTCTTAATAATCTAACTGTATACTCTAAGAAACTGTACACCTTACCTAGAAAAAGAAAAGTTAACACTTCAAACTACACACTAACTTGAAATGTTTAAAGATATTCAAAAGCATTGCATACTAAGCAGAATCAAAAAGTATGTGCCAGTGATTTCAGTTCTAACTCGAATGACTTCAGTGCTCTTCCCACATCATTACTGTCTCTCTTAAGTCTAACCTTTTTCCACGTGATGGCCTTGAAACTAAAAGGGCTCAAAGTTTCCTTAACACAGACCTAGTGTTCTAGGCAAACATATACACTACTTTTTTTGTTTTATCAGAGTGCTTTCTGGGAAATCCCCAATTAAAAAAAAAAAAAAAGACCTGCAAATAAAATATATTTATAAAATAAACAGAAATCAGAATTGGAAGACATTCTAGGAATTACCTATTTCATATCCTGTATTTTATGTATAAGGCAACTGAGGCAGAGAAGCTCAGAGAAGTAAAGCTTTTACTCACATAGCTGGGACTAGAACCTATGTCTCCTGAAACAGCTACAGGAGGCAGAAATAAATGTTGACTTAGTGACTGAACAACAACAACCTCAAATAAAATCAGAACTAAAAGGTGTCATGTCCCATATAGAAAATCACAGGTTTTTAAACACAAGCTGGAGGAACCAACGTAAAGGTACAAAGCAGAAGCACAGCGAAGGTGCAGCAGACACTGCTTTCACAGTTCCTGGGGTCCGTCGGTAGGTAATCCTAGACCACCCTGTACCTGTTTACTCACCATGCATCAACATACGAAGTTCTAGTTTACATAAAAACACTGAAGTATTTGCAATTGTTTACTTGCCTGTCTCTCCACCAGAGACAAACCTCTCTGTGACTGGTGTAACATATCTAATTTTGTATTACCATAGTCCTGCCACAGAGTATCTTTTATGTGTGTGCATACTTTTGAGGCATCTTTTGAGGTTGAAAGTGTAGCTTTACAGAGAGAAATTTTCCCTACATGGCTTTCACATGGCTTTCTAAATGATCAAACTGATGTAGCTGAAGCCTATTTTAATACAAATAGTAAAAATAACATAAAAACTAAGTCAATCTATTTCAAAGACTCAGCTAAAGCTAACTGCAAACAATAGCAAACAAACAAAACCACCAAATAGAACTTACTAGACAGAAACAATTTTGTAAGATGAAACTTACAAATTTACAATAAAAGAAAACCATAAAAATTTTTATTCTAATGGGGACAGTTAACAAAAAAATTTAGCCTTTTTTAAAAAGTAAAAATATTTTAAAAAATTCTTTAAAAATCAACATGACTTACTCTTTAATATCACGAAGCTGATCAACATCTTGTGATCTTGTAAAATCTGGATCATGAGCTAGCAGGTGAATCATATAAGGAACTACATACTCAGGCAACAGTGATAATAGTTTCTCTAGAGTGAAAACATTATTATTAACAATAGTAATAAGAGCTTTTATAAAAATCTCTCCCTAATTTAATGTTTTAACCACTTCAGTTAACATTTTTCCCTCAGTTATTCCCTCAGTTATATCATCTGGATGATACTGAAATACTTTTTTCAATTTTGAAGGCTACTAAAGACAAAGGATAATTTAAGATTGAGCCCCTGGCAAAGCTGGGGACTTTATTCTCCAACATCAGAGCAACGTGTTCAAATCAAGCCACGCTGCTCATCCTATAAGATAAAATGCAGTTCTTCCTTTTACACATTATAAACAGGACTCAGAAACTAAAATCTTAGATTTTACTTACATCTTAACTGCAATAGCAACATTCTATAAAAGTCCCAGTGTTATACACTGTTGGCCTGGCCATCTTATGGAAAAACGTGAATGAACTTATTGGCCAAGCCAATACAACAGAAACGCACGAACCCCTCCACAAATGGCTGCACTGACAGGACTGTCTGCACAGCGAGCACTTTGAAAGCTGCTTACCAGTAGCCATGGGGTTCTGTTTGATGTACTCCCTGCGTATACTGATGTTTTTCAGCAAACACTGCCGCGCATGTGCTCTCCTCTCCTTCACCGGATCTTTGGCACACAAGGCAAAGATGGCCATGTACTCCAGTGGGAGCAGTAACTTCACAAGCGCCTTGTGTAGCTTCTGAGCGAATATCTGCCTTACTTGATAGCACTCGTCCTACAGCAGCACAAAACCGAAACTACTGAAAAGTATTACACTTTTAAAATCGCTAACAAAACCCCGTTCAGTTTTTTTAAAAACTGGCAAACATTTACAAAAGAACACTTTAAGCATTTTTAATGTCTTCATTTAAAAAAAAGATATAATTATACTAAGGAAGTAAATAACAATTGTGGGGAGATAACAGGTTAGAGTAATGACAGCAATCCCTTTTGTGCATACATCCACAGAGTAAGTGGATACTTAATCTGTATGAAGTAAGTAATCTGTATCAATAAGTTTAAAGTTGAAGGCCAAGTAAATGACAAAATAAGACTGTTACTTACATTAATAACAAGTGCACAGAGCTGAAACTGTTCTGGGGTTATAATTTCATGGTAACAAGGTTCCTGAGCAAGCTTCATTATGGCACTACCAGCAGCTAATCGCAAGCGAGACATATCAGATTTACTATAAACAAACAAGAAAGAAATAAACATTTCCTATAACCATTATCATTCATAAAGCGCTTCGATCCCTTTTTGACTGTTAAGGTCTTTAGCATAATTTATACTTTAACTGACATAATGTACAAATATGAGAAAGATCCTTTGAGTCCTTGAACTCAACAGAGGGAAGGCTCAAATCATTCTATCTGATATTACATTTATCGGCCTTCATTAAAAATTTTTTATTTACTTATTTTATTCAGGTATAGCTGATTTATTATATTAATTTCAGATGTACAACATAGCGATTCAAAATTTTTATAGATCACACTCCACTCACAGCCATAAACTCGTGGCTGTGTCCCCATGGTGCACAGCGCACCCTAGCAGCTTCTCTTCTGTAGCGGTTTGTGCCTTTCATCCCCACCTGGCTCCTCCCCACTCCCGTGTCCCCAGCGGCAACCACTAGTCTGCTTTCTGTATCTGTGAGTCTCTTTGTCATATTCACTAGTTTTATGTTTTAGATTCCACATGTAAGTGATAACATACAATATGATATTTGACTTATTTCACTAAGCATAATACTCTCTAGGTCCATTCATGTTGTATTAAATGGCAAAATTTCATTCTTTTTAATGGTTGCCTTCATTTTCACTTAACATTTTAGCTTAGATCCCCTACTATAAGGAACTCTGCTTTCATTTACAATAGCACCAACTGCAACACGAGCAAGAACCATTTACATTAGCAACTGTATTTCTCATTTTAACAGGCATTCACATGTATCAAAGAAAACTTGATACTTAAAACTGAGAATTTAAAATGCACTTATCATTTATAATTTGTTCCCCACAATTTTAAAATGCATACACGCATTTTACACAGGGGCTTCCTTGGTGGCTAAGATGGTGAAGAATCCGCCTGCAACGCAGGAGACCTGAGTCTGATCTGTGGGTTGGGAAGATCCTGTGGAGGAGGGCATGGCAACCCACTCCAGCATTCTTGCCTGGAGAATCCCAAGGACAAGGAGCCTGGTGGGCTACAGTCCATGGTGTTGCAAAGAGTCGGACATGACTGAGCGACTAAGCGCACACACACATTTACACAGACGTAACAGAAGTCAATCTCAAGCCTAGACATGGCTGATGAAATAGAAGGGCTGTGAATTAGGAAGTGATCTGTACCCTAAAGGAGGCGGCATCAGACAAACATCTAAAAGGAAAGAATATGGAGGTGAGAGCCAATGTCTCTTGGCTACTAGTTTCTGAGGCAGACTTTCTTTTCCAATAGGAAGTTTTCCAAGGGAACCTAGAAAGCCCAGGAACCCCCACTCCCCACCCAGTCAACTTTAACTACCTAAATAGCAAAACGTGACACTGATGTGGTGAAAGGACAATCTCCTTACTTCAACTGCTAAATGGAACATAACATAGCTTTAATATTTTAAAGACTTCAAAAAATGTGGAAAGCTGCCCTAAATCCACAAGGGACTGTTATTTACCATACAAGAGGAGAAAACATGGCACTCTTGGACCACATGACCATCAAAGTGAGCATCGGTAACAACGAAGGACTCTCAAATGGTTTCTGAAGCAAATGATTCAGGAATTTAAAAAAATTACTAATGCCGCTATCTGGGTACGTTACTCTGGAAGATGGGGAAACTGAGGCTTGGAAAATTGACTTATGAAGTTTATACAACTAGTAAATGGAGCAGGGAGTTGTGTAAGTTTCTGATTCCGGAGTCCAAGCTAAACTATGGGATACATAATGTCTAATTAAGACCTGCCTAATATTTCATAATATGCATGTTCCACAATTGACCATTCTCCTATCTTTTGAGATGAAAAAAAAAAAAACACTGGAAAGAACATGTTAGTATGTTTATTTTTATATGATTCTTTTAATTTCATGAACATAAAAATAAAGCCAAAGAATAATATTAATATTTTTAAAGACTCAGAAACAAAACGCCAAACTGTCCTGCCAAGACTATGCCCATTTATGTTCACAGGAGTAATGAGGGAAACTGTTTTCCCTGATCCCAGAGTAATGATTGCTTAAAAAATTTCTTTTTGATGATTTGATAGACAAGAGGTTCCACTTAAGTTAAAATTGTATTTATTGTATTTAGTGATGTCAAACATTTTTTTAAAGATAAACTGGCAAAATATACTCTTCATCCTTACTGGGGACCCTGCCTGTTTACCACTGATTTGTAAGAGCTCATTATTAAGCCTTCGCTACGCACTGTACATGGTTTCCCCAAATTTAAACTTTGCTGTCCCTACTCTTCAATTTGTTCAAGCAAAGCTACCCTTGGCTTATAATAAAAATAGTTTTTGATTGTTTTCTCCGGATTATCAAAGCATTCAGCATCTCTACTGAATGTAATTGTGCATTTCCTATCTCCTCCAATAGAATGCATATTCCTTAGAGGAAGAAATTATTGTATGTTTAAAAGGTTTGGCAGTACCTGGCATGACAGTGTTCAATAAATACTGAAAGCATAAATGAATAGTTAAGTCTATCCTCTAACTCAAATTTTAAAGAATGCATCACAAGTAGAATTTTTCAGTTATTTCACATGAAAACCAGTAAATGAAAAATTTGACTTTTATTTTCATCTTAAAAGGTACAGTAAGAAGAAATCGTGATTTCACAAGATTTGAAGACTGAACATGTGTAGAAATGGAAACAAATTTTTTGGGGGGGCATTTGCAGAACCTTGTATAGTCTTCTGCAAACCACCAAGAGGGTGCAACTCTTTCTTCTTTGAATCTACACTGAAATTTTTATTCCTTTCATGACACCAAAACACTATGCTTGTTCAATCACTATACTTACAGGGTAAATTGCTTAAAGGCAGGAACTGAATTTTATCTGTTTTTACTGCAATGATTTTCATAGTGTTTGACAAATATTCAACAAATATTTGTTCAACTGATCAAATGTTGAAGCCAACTGTAACACCGCTATAGTGATTATGACTGCAAATTTACTGGAAGAAGGTCAGTCTTGAGAAATGAAAATACACCATTATTGAGATGCAAACCCAAAGTAAGCACATAATTTAAACACAAAACATATAGTGCAATTATAACTGCTAATATTAAGTAAATAATTCTTATGTAAGCTCTACCAACATCGTGAAGCTAAAAAAAACTGGAAAGGAAGAAAAATCTCACCTGATCCTCTTCTGCTCTGTCAGGTCACCCTCACTAACCAACATTGCTGATAATAACCGAAGAGTTGAATTGGCAGATTTAGACTGGTTGTTTTTCATACCCAACAGCCATCTTACCAGAAGTTTAATTGCCTGTACCTATAAAATATTAACATGCTAAAAAAAGAAAGCAACTTAAAATTCCACTTAAAGGGAAGATTTATGTTAATTAGATTAGTGAGATTACTTAACTGCCAGCAGACATGTTTTATTAAATAAGTCTGTAGGATAATAATAATGAGAACTAATACTTATTCTGTTTATGCCAGGTGCTTTACCCAGATTTGTACATGTTATTTTATTTAATCTCCCAAACAACTCTGTGAGGGAGATATTCTTATTTCTAATAAATAAAGCAACTTAAGACACATTACTATGATAGATAGCTTGCCCAGGCTCTGGCTTCTGAATTCAGATTTTTCACACCTGGACACTTGCTTTTCAAATCATTTAAAAGTACTGATATGTTTTTAAAAAATAACTAAACTACACAGATTGTAGTAGTTAAAAATAACTAGATAGACTTTAAATTTCTTGTAGTACTGAAGAGCTATTTTGATTAAAAACCCAGGAGATTTTGTAATTATTTGTAGTCATAATTGCTTGGAGCCTTATACTCAAGACTGTTATGAAATGTATGCAAGAACTAGCTAAAGGATGCAGATATCATTTACTACATTTATTTATTGACAACTTGGAAAAAGGAACTGATGGAATAAATGATGCCTATGAAGCTATTCAAGGTGAGACAGATTATCAAATAAGATGATAAAGAGGTTTTGTTTTGAATCCCAAGACTACCACTTTAAAAATTAGCTTTACTGAGGGATAATTTACATCTATCAAAAGTTACCAATATGATGACAGTCATGTTTCTGCCAAATAAATATTCATATGCCTGTAGATAAAAAGTGGTAATGAGGCTAGACCTGAGCTGCTTCTGACATCAATATTCTACAATCTCTATGTAAAACAGCCTCACTGAAATCATTTCAGCAAGGCAGGAAAACAAGCTGACATATATCTATATGTAACCAACTTTAACAACAACTGTAATTTGAGAAACACACAACCTTAGGTTTAAAAATAAAGCACCTTATTTAAAATGCTTTTTAAGTGTTAGGTTTTTTTTAAAAGGATATCTATAAATGTTCATTATTTCAGCATAACAGTCATCAAGTTCTACTCAATTTTACCTTTGCTAGTACTTCAGGGGAAACCTCTTCATCTGGAGACCATAATTTTCCATTCTTCTCACCTGTTGACTACAGACAATTGAATAAATTTAACTTTTAGGAAAAAACTTTAAATTTTGCTCATTAAGGTTTTCATGCTGAACAACACTGTGCTCTAGGGACCCCACAAGAAAGGCACCAAATAGGGACTGGAAAAGAAGAACAAAGTTGGAGGGCTGAAACTTCCTGACTTTGAAACTTAACTTACAAATCTATAGTAACCAAGACAGCACGGGTGGCACTGAGATAAGTACGGACACACAGACCAAGAGGACGAGACAGACAACCCTCACGTACATGTTCAACTGATTTAAACAAGAGTGCTAACACCAATTATTGGGAAAACAACAGAATCCTCAACTAATGGGGCTGGCAAAACTAGATATAGCCATAAGCAAAGGAATGAAGCTGAACTGTTATATATGAAAATTAACTTGAAAAATGGATCAAAGATCTTAAGAGTTACAACTAAAAAACTCTCATAAGGTACAGGGGAAAATCTTTCTATTCTTGGATTCAGTATATAAATATTCAGAATATATAAAGAATTTTTACAACTCAACAACAACAAACTATTCAATTCAAAGTGGGCAAAAGACTCAATATTCAAAGAAGATATACAAACAGCCAATAAGCACATTAAAAAAAAACCACCAGCCATTAGGGACACAAACCAAAACCGTAAGATATTACTTTGCAACTACCAGGATGACTATGATCAAAAAGCCAAGTAAAGAATAAGTGTTAGCAAAGATGTATAGAAAATGGAAGGTTTGTGTATGGCTGCTGGGAATATAAAATGGTATAGACACTGTGGAAAAATGTTCAGCAGTCCTTCAAAAAGGTTACCATAGAATGATCATGTGATCCAGCAATTTCACTCTTAGGCATATATCCCAAAAATCTGAAAACAGGGACTCAAATGTTCATGTCAGCATTATTCACAACAGTCAAAGGGTAGAAAACACCCAAGTATATATCAAATAGATGAATAAACAAAATGTAGGTTAAACATACAATGGAATATTATTGTGGCACAAAATGAAGTTCTGATACATACTATAACATAGATACATCTTGAAACCATTATATTGAGAGAAATAAGCCAGATGCAAAAGGATAAATGTTGTATGAGAAGAAGGTATCTAGAATAAGCAAATTCATAAACCAGGCAAGTAGAATAAATGTTACCAGAGGTTGGCGGGGAGGAGGTAATGGGGAGTTACTCGTTAATGGATGTACAGTTTCTCTCTGAAATGATAAAAGTTCTGAAAACAGGTAGTGGCAATGCTTACCCAACAATGTGGATGTATATTTTAGGTGGTGTCTTGAACCACTGTGGAGATTTACTTGGCCTTCCTGGGTTATCCCTTGTGTACATGGGTGTACACATATGTTATCAAACTTGTTTGTTTTTAATAAAACAAGAAACCAATAAGAACATGGGTGTATGTAATGCAAGTGAACTGCATATGTAAGTGGGGTAAAATGGCAAAGTTTATATTATGTATATTTTACTACATACAAAAAACAGAACCATCTTAAAATAGAATTTATGAACAATCAAGCCACCATCTAAGAAGTGTCAAATTTCGCATTTGTTGCCAGCCTCGTCTATCAGTAGCACAAAGAACAATATGAAGCTGTGGAGTAGGAAATGAGACTCTGGCCCTGCTCTTCAGCTTTTACTATTATTTTCAAATGGAGGGAGGATAAAGAGGAAGGAATGAACTGGCAAGTATTTTTTTCTGAGTTTGAACACTGAGGGTTCTGTTTTTTACTTCATGATTCATCTATCTCATGTTCTCAATTTTTCTTGAAGAAAAATTCTAGTAATAGCTACACAGCAAGATGTTAATTATTTATTTTAGCAAGATGTTATTTTAAGTAACAAATAACAAATAAAAAAAGAGAATCATACACAGAGAAAAGCAGACGTGTTGTTTCCGTGACAAAGATGTAAACAGTCTTAATCTTATGATTCTAAATTTAATGAGACACTTACCCTGTCATTCATTAGCAGATCTTTAACAATAAAATTTGCTACTACAGATTTCATTGGGGAAGCAAACTGATCTGGTGCTAACATAGAAATGTGGCCCAATGAAACTAACGGAGTTATAAGTTGTTCTGGTACATCAGCATTCAGACTCCTACTGAGTGGCTATAAAAATAAAACAGTCAAAATTACTAGTTTGTTTTATAGATATTTAGACATTGTACAGAATAGTGTACGTTCCCGAGTCCTCCTGAATTTATTGTGCCCCCAAAAAATCTGTTCTAGAGATGATTAAAAGTAACTTCAGTCATATTAGACACTTGGTTCTTGTTTCACCTATTGAGATTTAATAAGATTGAAACAATGTAAAAAAAAGGAAAGAGTAAAACCCACATAAAGTAAAAATAAGAAAATTCTCCCATGGTCAAATCAGCCTTATTTTTAAGTCAGTTATGTTGGTGGGTTTCTTGTCCTGTGGGAACATTTAAAATGACCATGGATCATAATGTTTAAGTCCATTGGGTTCTGTTCATATTGTATTCAGTTTATGACAATAGGAATACCTTTCCAGTAGCAGAATCAGGCAAAGGATCATACATAAGGAAAGGCAAACAAAACTAATTTTCAAGTAGGGTTGTTAGGTCTACAATAGCTTCTCAAGCTAAATGGACCACTGAGCCAATAAAGCTAAAATTAAGTAAAATAATGTAACACAAAATACATAAAATGTCCTTCAATGTGTAGTATTTGAACATACAGTCTGATCTAAAGGCAGGGAATATCTAAAGTACTGAATAAAATAGAGTCTCTGCTCCCATGGAATTTATATTTTAGAGTGAGACTAAAGAGCCTAAAAAAAAAGTGACTTTTTAGCTTCATCAGACCACAGAGAATAAAAATAAAAATCAACAAAAACACATCATATGTAATTATATATACCTCAAAAATCTGTGCAAGCTGGACTTCTTTATTTGTGAATATGGCATGTATACAGTGAACAGCCTGTTTTGCTTGGTGTGGAGTACCTCTCTTTGCCTTCTGATGTAAAATGGGAATTAAGGTCCTGGGGAAAAAAAAAAAAAATCATAGTTTATTTTAAAAAAGCCCATAAACCACCAGTAGTTCTTTTGGTTGTCTCCTACTTCATGAGTAACTATTTGGAGGTATGCTTGAAGAAAGCTTCTCTTCTAAACTACCTGATCTATAAAAAGATTTAAAGCCCCTTTCCCCATCCTCAAGTACAATATAAGAAATGCAATGCCTCTAGAATAAAAGGGCTACTCCAGGAAACAATTTTCTTTTTAATTTAAGCTACCTCATAAGTATGGAGAGATAAACAAGCCACTTTTAATTTATAATCTAAAATTGCCCCATGCCATATTTTCACATCTGTCTTCTAAGAAAATACTCCTAAATTTTCCACTTCCCTCCTACAATCCTCTTCAGTTGTTTTAAAGCAGCCATGGGGAAAAATGTAGCAAAAGGCCAAATTTCATTAAAAAACAGACAAGAATGTACCAGTGAGAGAAAGTATGCAAATAAAGTATGGCATGTTTCTATCAAAATACAAAAAAATTGGCATATACATCAAATGGATAAGACAAAACATTCATATAAAATATACATCAAAATGTTAAGTGACTCACTTCGTTTACAGTTTCTAAAGTTTCAGCTTTTTATAATGAACTTGTTAAGTATTTTTTTTTACATCAAAAGAAAATCTGAAAGCCAAAACAAAAATTTAATAACAGACACTCGCTATACATCTGTGGCAATGCTACCACTTTATAGATTATAAGGTCAATGATATCACATCAAGTGCAATAGTGACAAAGGGTCATACTGTAACAGCGGTCCTCAACCTTTCTGGCACAGGGGACCAGTCTGTGGAAGGCAATTTTTACCATGGATAGGGAGGGGAAGATGCTTTCAGGATGATTCTCATAAGAAGCATCCTCATGTGCAGTTCACGGAAGGGTTTGTGCTTCTATGAGAATCTAAAGCTGCCGCTGATCTGACAGGAGGTAGAGCTCAGGTGGTAACACGAGCAGCTCTAAATACAGATGAAACTTTGCTTGCTCCCTGCTGCTCACCTCCTGCTGTGTACTGATCTATGGAATCAGTGCTGATCTGTGGCCTGGGGGCTGGGGACCCTTGTCTTACAATAATGGAAGGCTAGATATTAACAGCAATACTCTAAACCTTTATGCACCTCAATCAATAAACTGGAACATATGCTAGTCAGTGTGAAGTCTACCTTGAAATTTATGAATGTGCCATATTTGTCTCCATAAGGTTTAAAATAATGAAAAGGATTTTCATGCACAAATATCAATACATTCCTTGACTGAGCACTGTTGGAAGTCTTTCTTTCAAATTCATTTACCAAGGTAACAGTTCTTATAAATAAGACCAGTTAGTAACAAAAGAAGATAGAGTTCTGATCAAACTGTCGTTAAATATATTATTAACTCTTCTTAGCCTAATGAAAGGATGATGCATAGGTCAACTTTAACCCTTCTCCTTGTTTTTCTACTGCTATAATCCAGTTACACCACCAGGGTTGTTATTGAGGTCTGCAGTGTTGTGCTTCTCTGCTTTTTCAATAATCCTTCCTTCCTTCCTGATTAGTCTTAAGAAAAGCTGTGACAAATCTAGACAGCATATTAAAAAGCAGAGAAATCACTGCCGACAAAGGTCTGTTATAGTCAAAGCTATGGTTTTTCCAGTAGTCATGTATGGATATGAGAGTTGGACCATAAAAAGGCTGAGTGCTGAAGAATTGATGTTTCTGAATTGTGGTGCTGGAGAAGACTCTTGAAAGTCCCTTGGACACAAGATCAAACCAGTCAATTCTGAAGGAAATCAACTCTGAATATTCATTGGAAGAACTGATGCTGAAGCTGAAGCTCCAATACTCTGACCACCTGATACGCAGAGCCGATTCATTGGAAAAGACCCTGATGCTGGGAAAGATTGAGGGTAGGAGAAGGGGGTGACAGAGGATGAGATGGTTGGATGGCATCACTGACTCAGTGGACATGAGTTTGAACAAACTGGGAGATAATGAAGGACAGGGAAGCCTGGTGTGCTGTAGTTCATGGCGTCACAAAGAGTCAGACACCACTTATTGACTGAACAAGTCTTAAGAACCAAAGGTTTTATTCCTCATGTCCAAAGTTACCTGTTCTACTGTTCCTTCTGGGATAGAATTCTTTTAAGTACATCCTTTACCTTAAAAAAAGTATAGATTTTCCCACCTTGTAAAACTCACAATAACTTTAGCCCACTGTGTCAATCATTTTTTCTATAATGTACAAAGATAAAGATTATCATTTCTAGAGTATAAACTCCTTGACAGCAGGGACTGACAGTGGTAATCTTTTATATTAGCCACTACAGTGCTGACGATGAAATGGATATACAATAAATGTTGAATTATTTCTCAAATTAAACTATTAGCTCACAAATCCAATAAAAACTTAAGGAGTCATGAATTCTCATTCTATTAATATATCATGAGGAAAAATGGGTTTGATTTGAATTTACCTGAAACTATTTACATAAATACCTTGAACATCTGATTATAACAGCTATCAGCAGTGTGCTCTTCCTCTAAAAGACATCTCCCATATCTTAAGTCTAAATCACACGCTCAGCACAAATTTTGATCCTAAGACAACCTCTTAAAGCTACCAAAGTAAAAATACCAAAACGTACTTCATTCTTATGAGGAGATGGGTGGTAATCTAGAGAGATAAAAGAACCATGACCAACAACTAAGCAACTAATGAACATTTCATTAAGAACCTTGATTACACAATTCTTGAGTGAGATATGAAGGCAGTACCTACTGAATTTGGAGTTGGAGAAAAATAAATTAGAAAGATATATTAATCCTAAATTTTGTGGTAACTTTTGATAATTAATATTTTAAAATAAAAATTTTAGGTTGTTCCTCTGCTCATATTCGAATGGTAGAGGAGATAAGTCAGACAGAGAAAAGATGAAAACAGAGGATACAGAAAAGCAGCTTCTAAATAAAAGTCATCTTTCCTCCTCCATATCTTCCTAAGGGAAACAATGACCCTCAGATTCCCACACCTGGAAAGCTTTGGTGTTTATCACAAGAAAAGCATACTCACGATCGTATTTGGGGTAGGTCTGTTTCTATTTTGTGGCCTGTATTTCTAAAAATCTGTATCGCAGCTTCTGCTACCTTGTCATCCTCCATCCTGAGGCACTGTAACAGGGACTCGTATGTCTCTGCAGAGTGGAACGAGGTAGGGTGTGTGAAAGACAGAACCTAGAGGGACAGATACAATGCTTTAAGTACAGACAGTGGTTTTAATCCATTAAAAGAACTGTTTCTACTACAAATAAAATTTTAAATCATGAGCTGCATATGCTAGCAATACAACAAAGACTGTATCTTGTGGTCTCCCTTGAGGTGAGTCGTGGCTAACAATTCTTGATCTACAGCCCTTGTCCTGTTTTCTTCTTTACCTCTTGGTCTATTCTGATACTGGGGCTGTGGGAAATGTGGCTCCTTTTTCATGGGAGTGATAGATGTGAACAAAATGCTAACACTAGGCTTTATTTCACTGGCAAAAGATACCCTATAAGGAAATATTTTAATTGAATCCATCACAAAAAATTTACTCATAAGTAGTCATTATTAGAAGATTTTAACCACGATTACAAACACATAAATAATTGTTCCCCTTATTTATTGAGACACTAGTGCTAGGCTACCCTTAAGGAATTTCCAGCAAGTTAGAGAGAATGTGTCTACAAAGGTTACCTTCCATGAGCAGAAACAGTTCAGTCAGCCTGACACATGGAATAAGGCCTAAAAGAAAAATAAGGAGGTAGGGGAATGGAGTATGTAGCCCTCATTAACTTATTATATGAGCATTTTTTAAATGGGTTATAAAGTGGAGACAGTGTCTCATTTGGTAGGGTTCAGAGTGATAATATTTACTTATGAGGTTTTAAATATTCAGAGAAAAATGAGGATTTAAATTTGAAAAGCTGAATCAACCTATTAAAAGTGTTTGCCTTAAAGATGATTTTCCTCTGTTTAAAAAAAAATGTATGTCCACAATCTGGAACCAATCTTGTCTTCCACCACTCCTCAAAGCAATACTTCTAACTACTCAGGCTACATTCACAATCCCTAAAACATGCCCCAAATTATTCTCTTTGATGATGCTGTGCTCCCCCTCTAGATTAAATTATGTCTCTTACTAATTGTTCAATTCTCTGAACTCTTTGGCATCTGTTTACCAATAGTTTAAAAAAAAAAAAAAAATCCCAATCAGATAGATGATGTCTTATAGTAATTCCTGTGAGCAATCCTACTAACCAATATGCAGGTTATTTGAAAGGTAAGACTAAATCATTTAGCACATACTGTTATAAGTATAGCAGGCATGCACATGATGAATGAAACAGCAAAACTCCAAATATATTATTCTATAATGTAAAATAAGTACATTAGTATAATTCAGAAAACATGTTATTTTTATAAAATGTTGTATTACAAATTTTAATCTTTTGAGTAACTTCCAATCAAATAAAGCCTGACCCTTGCATATCTTTAAGGTGATTCATATTGTAACTGCAGAATACATATGGAATCTAGAAAAATGGTACTGACGAGCCTAGTAGAGAATAGACTTGTGAGCACAACTAGGGAAGTTGAGGGTGGGAGAGACTGAGAAAGTGGTACTGACAAATATACACTACCAGGTGTAAAACAGTTAGTGGGATGTTGCTAAATAACACAGGGAGCTCACTCAGCCTGGTGCTCCATGATGACCTACAGGGCAGGGGCGTGGAGAGGGGAGGAAGGCTCACGAGGGGAAGGATGTATATATATAAAATTATGATTGATTTGCACTTTTGTATGGCAGAAACCAACACAAAATAGTAAAGCAATTTCCCACCAATTGAAAAACTGTTTCAAAAATACCTTAAGAAGTTCAAGTCCTGAACGAATAGCTGTATCTGGACTTACACCCTCCTCTTCGTCATCTGCTGTCCCTTCTATTGATTTATTCATCAGTTTTACCAGTGCACTATTAAAATAAGACAATCTAAATTAGTAACACTACTAGATTAGCAACTGTATCTTAATTGCATTGTAGTAGACATATACAGACTCTATTAAACATCAAATTAATATTTTCTGGAAGAAAAAGTTATTTTGTGATTTTTTAAACTTCCCTCTCTACATGACAAATGAGCTTGTTTTTAGTTTATCCTCCCCATCCATGTATAACAGTAATTCTAATGAAAAGCAACAAAACTGTCAAATGGACTAGAAATATGTACTTTTAAGTATAAGCAATGCAATATTCATATCCATAAACAGATCATTTGCAATTTCAAGAAAAACGTTAGGATGGCAGTTGCTAAATGGACAAATGAGAACTCACTCAAAACAAAAAACAAATAGTAAACACATAAATGAAAAAACAAAAAACAAACCACATAAATGAGCAAAGGCATTGAATTAATCACATAATTAATTTATTGAATCACTAATTCCACTCCTAGAGATTTATAGCAAAGAAATTGAAAGCAATTCATGAGAAGCATTGTGCTCTCTCTATATATCCACACACAAAATCAACAATTAAAAAGTATTAAATGTTCAACATTATTAGTTTTTCAAATACAGCTAACCACCACAAACTAGAAATTATGTGGTCAACAGGATACTATTTTAAGTTAAAACAAACATGATCTTTGTTCTTGAGATTTCATTTCCTCATTAGTGATGTCCCAGTACAGTCAAACATTCAACAAACCTAGCTGTCACCTCAAGACAAACCCCTTCCCCATTAGGTGTGTGTGCTCAGCTGTGTCCAGTTTCCATTAGAGGTCACTCCTTACTCACCTCCAACTCCTTCAGCCCTAAGCATCCGCTAATCTACTTTGTGTTGCTATATATATTTGCCTATTCTGAATACTTCATATATAAATGGAATTCTCAAGGTTCAACTTCCCCTGGGTCAGGAAGATACTCTGGAGGAGGAAACAGCAACCCACTCCAGTGGGCTACACTCCATGGGGTCACAGAGAGTTGGACATGACTGACCACATGCACACACATATGGTACCTCTATGCTTAACTTTTGGAGGAACTGTCAAATTGCTTTTAAAAGCACCTCCAACATTTTACACCCATCAGCAATACATGAAGGTTACAATTTTTCTACATTCTTGCCAACTCAACTTTTTGACCATGGCCATTCTAGTGGGTATAAATAAAGTGGTGAATCACTGTAGCGATATATACATAAAACAACTGTCATCGCCACAAAAATCTACCTTGCACATCTGTGGTTAATTCTCTTTTTCTACTCTGGCAAAAATGATCAACTTTCTGCCACTAAAATTTTACCTTTTATAAAACTTTATACATTTTGTGTCTGGCAACTTCTATGTGATAGAATGCTTTTGAGACTCCTCCATGTTGTTGCATAGGATCAGTGTAGTTTGTATAGTTCTGTGTATTCTTGCCATCTCTTCTTCATATCTTCTGCTTCTGTTAGGTCCATACCATTTCTGTCCTTTATTGAGCCCATCTTTATGAAATGTTCCCTTGGTATTTCTAACTTTCTTGAAAAGATCTATAGTCTTTCCTATTCTATTGTTTTCCTCTATTTCTTTGCACTGATCATTGAAGAAGGCTTTCTTATCTCTCCTTGCTATTCTTTGGAACTCTGCATTCAAATGGGAATATCTTTCCTTTTCTCCTTTGCTTTTCGCTTCGCTTCTTTTCACAGCTATTTGTAAGGCCTCCGCAGACAGCCATTTTGCTTTTTTGCATTCTTTTTTTTCCTTTTTTTGCATTCTTTTTCTTAGGGATAGTCTTGATCCCTGTCTCCTATACAATGTCACAAACCTCCATCCATAGTTCATCAGGCACTCTGCCTATCAGATCTAGTCCCTTAAATCTATTTCTCACTTCCACTCTATGATCATAAGGGATTTGATTTAGGTCATACCAGAATGGTCCAGTGGTTTTCTCTACTTTCTTCAATTTAAATCTGAATTTGGCAATAAGGAGTTCATGATCTCAGCCACAGTTAGCTCCCAGTCTTGTTTTTGCTGACTATATAGAGCTTCTCCTTCTTTGGCTGCAAAGAATATAATCAATCTGATTTCGGTGTTGACCATCTGGTGATGTCCATGTGCAGAGTCTTCTCCTGTGTTGTTGGAAGAGGGTGCATGCTATGACCAGTGCATTCTCTTGGCAGAACTCTGTTAGCCTTTGCCTGCTTCATTCTGTACTCCAAGGCCCAATCTGCCTGTTACTCCAGGTATCTCTTGACTTCCTACTTTTGCATCCCAGCCCCCTGTGATGACAAGGACATCTTTTTTGGGTGTTACTTCTAGAAGGTCTTGTATAGAACCGCTCAATTTCAGCTTCTTCAGCATTACTGGTTGGGGCATAGAGTTGGATTCCTGCGATACTGAATGGTTTGCCTTGGAAATGAACAGAGATCATTCTGTCGTTTTTGAGATTGCATCCAAGGACTGCATTTTGGAGTCTCTTGTTGACTATGACAGCTACTCCATTTCTTCTAAGGGATTCTTTTTTTTTTTTTTTTAAGGATAAAATAAGTTTTTATTTATAGTCTTATAGTAAAGGGGAAAGCCTTAACTTGCAAGACAATTCTTCAGCAGTATGTACAACATACTTTTTATTTCCATGGAATAGAATCAAACACGGACTGAGACTACAGAGTATACACTAGAAATCAGCAAATGCCGGGAACAGAGTAGGAAAAAGACAAAGAAATGAGGCCTAAACACACAAAACCCTTCACTGGGATCTGCTGACCGCAGCCAGAACCAGGGCTGGATCACATAATGGGGACAGGTTCCAGGACAGTCGGAAGGGGAGGACGGGCGAGGGTGGGGAGGGGTCCGCACTGGGGTGCGGGTTTAGTACGAGGTGAACCGCTCTTGGTATTTACATACAAAATCAGTTGGCTCTATTTCTTAGAAATACACACGGAAAGAAAGGACGATTTGATCATTACTTTATGAATCTGTCGCTTTGCAATACCGACATCATCAGAAATAGGGACAATTCACTCAGGTTCAAATTTCAGCAGCAGGAAATAAATATCTCGGAGTCGGAGCCTGAAGAGCCCCAAAGCAGGAAGAAGCTCCGGATGGAGGCCAGCTAAGCTCCGCAGGGCAGGCCAGCAATAAAAACTGTGTGTCTCCTCCGTCGTCTTATCCTCCTTTCAGTTCATCTTTAGAACCCTCAGAACCATTTAAGAGACTCTTTATTTTTTTTCCCCTCTTTCTCCTTTTTTTTTAAATTTTATTTTTACGTAGAAGCTCTTGGACAACAGCTCTCATTCTCCTTCCCCATTTCCACGTTTTTTTTGTTTTTTTTTTTTTTTAAACGTTTCCCTTCAGGGATTCCCTGTCCCCACCAGGAATTTTTAAACCAAAACACCCCAACTTGGCAGCTTTTTCTGTGGAGGACAGACGGCCGGCCAGACCTCTGAGCACATGGTGTCCTGACCACCCACCAGCTCCTCCAGCCCTGCCAGGCACGTGCCCGGGGGACTCCTGCCCCACCCAGGCCTCTCCTTCCAGGCCATCCTCACCTCTGTTTGATAGACTTTGTGAATCTGTGGACTGCTCTACTTTCAGAAGATGACCAGTTTGGAGTAATCAGAATTATTCCCCCTTCTTTTTAAGGATTTTTTTTTCCCCCGCTAAAAGGCTATTTATCGCTCCTATTGAAAGACCAGATCCTTGAAGAAGTTTGTGGTATAAAAGGAAATGGGGACAGATTTGCAGCGCGGAGTCTTGGCCTGTTTCACTCCTGCTTCTCTCAGCTAGCCTTAGGGAGGCCGTGTGATGCTTGTGTGGCGTGAGGGGACGGCAGCAGTGGAGCGGTAGCCGCCAGGGGGTGGTAGCGGGTGGGTGGGCCAAAGAGGGAGGATCGGGTTGGGTAGAGGTTTTGTATTGAGGGCCAGTGATGATGTTCTAAGGGATTCTTACCCACAGTAGTAGATGTAATGGTCATCTAAGTTAAATTCACCCATTCCAGTCCATTTTAGTTTGCGGATTCCTAAAATGTCACAATGTTCACTCTTGTCATCTCCTGTTTGACCACTTCCAATTTGCCTTGATTCATGGACCTAACATGATAACATGGACAGGAACATTCCAGGTTCCTATGCAATACTGCTCTTTACAGCATCAAACCTTGCCTCCATCACCAGTCTCATCCACAACTGGGTGTTGTTTTTGCTTTGGCTCCATCTCTTCATTCTTTCTGGAGTTATTTCTCTACCAATCTCCAGTAGCACTTTGGGCACCTACCGACCTGGGGAGTTCATCTTTCAGTGTCCTATCTTTTTGCCTTTTTCATGGGGTTCTCAAGGCAAGAATACTGAAGTGGTTTGCCATCCCCTTCTCCAGTGGACCACATTTTGTCAGAACTCTCCACCATGACTCATCCATCTTGGGTGGCCCTATACAGCATGGCTCATAGTTTCACTGAGTTAGACAAGGCTGTGGTCCATGTGATTAGATTGGTTAGTTTTCTGTGATTATGGTTTTCAGTCTGTCTGCCCTCTGATGGAGAAGGAAGCTTATGGAAGCTTCCTGACTAGAGAGACTGAGGGGGAAACTGGGTCTTGTTCTGATGGGCGGGGCCATGCTTAGTAAGTCTTTAATCCAGTTTTCTGTTGTTCCCTCCCTGCTAACACCTGGGGCCAAACTGTGGTGGAGGTGATGAAGACAATGGTGACCTTCTTTAAAGCGCTGCGGGCATGCACTGCTATACATGCCCTCAAACCCTGCAGCAGGCCACCACCCACCCACGCCTCCGCTGGAGACTCCTGGATACACAGGCAAGTCCAGAACAGTCTCTTGTGGGGTCACTGCTCCTTTCTCCTGGATCCTGGTGCACAAGGTTCTGTCTGTGCCCCCCAAGAGTCTATTTCCCAGCTCTGTGTAAGTTCTGGCAGCGCTATGATGGGGTTAACGGCGACCTCCTCCAAGAGGGCCTGTACCATACCCAAGTCTGCTGCACCCAGAGCCCCTGTCCCTGCGGCAGACCACTGCTGACCCGCACCTCCACAGGAGACGCTCAGACACAGTTCTGTCTCAGTCTCTGTGAGGGTCCTGGGTCCAGGTGCACACAAGGTTTTTTTGAGCCCTCTGAGCATCTCTGGCGGGAATGGAGTTTGATTCTAAATGCGAATTCGCCCCTCCTACCATCTTGCTGGGGCTGCTCCTTTGCCACTGGATGTGGGGTATCTCTATTAAAAACTAATAGCAAAATACCTTTTGCTATTACCCAGCTGTAAAAAACCACCAGGTTTTTCTCAGAACCTTAGCTTTCTTATTTGCTAATAAGATTAAAGGATAAGATCTTAGTTAAAAAACAAAGGGCCAACAAACATCACCATTATAGATTGAACTGAATACCCTAAACTCGTATGTCCATCCTAACCTCCAGGACACCTCAGAATGTGACTGTACTTGGAAATAGACGAGATTTTAATTATTTAATAAGATAGCTATGCTAAACTAAGGTCAGATGGGTGGGCCATAATCCCAAATGGCTGTTTTCTCATGTGAAGAGGAGGTCAGGGCACAGACGTGTGAGGAGAGCAAAGAGGAGGTTATCTGCATGCCATGGAGAGGCTCCAGGAGAAATCAAACTTGATCTTGGGCTGCTCCTCTCCAGAATGTGAGAATTCAAATTTCTGTTGTTTAAGCCACACAGTCTGTGGTTTTTGCCACAGCAGCCCTAGCAAACTAATACAATTGGCATTTTAATATAACCAAACAGTGAGTCATGTACTAGTAATGGCTAGAACCAGGTCTCCTAATTCAAAGAAAAGAGAATCAATAAATGCTAGTTAGTAACCCAAAATGGAAAGATTTATAGCTGATGAGCTGGAAAAATGATTAGTACAAGGTAAAAGTATTCTCAGAAGTTTACAATCAATAATCATTAGAAATAAGTGAAACGTATGAAATTACGGGAACAATTAATCAAAGACAATAGATGTCAATGTTCGTGATGCTAGTCTGCTTATTTTTTTTACATATTACTAATTTTCACACTCATCCACAAGGAGATGTTATATCCATATTAAAGTTAAAAATAAAAACTAAATTAGAGCCAAAAGTTGGTAAGAGATGTGTTTTGAAAGCAGATTAGTCTAATGGCAATCTTGTGCTCCTTTCATAATACTATTCTGTTTTTCACATATCTCAAGTGTGCAGTGATGTAATACATACAAAAAAACTATATGCGGCCATGAAAAGGGTTAAGAAAACTCAAAGGCTGATGATAGCTATAGATTTTCTTATGTTCCAGGTTTTCTTTAATGAGAACATATAAGCTAAAAATAAACACAAGATTTCTTTTTTAAAAATAAATAAAAAGTAATGAAACAAACCAATGATCAGAAAAGGAGCCTGTCTTTCTTTCAACTTGAATGATACATGATATAGGTTCCCTGTATACCATTTTAGGTCTCGTTGGGGACCCAGAATTTAAACTTACAACACTGTGGCTTCAAATTATATTTTATTTATGAATGAATATAACTCCTAGTTTACCTGATGGCTTCTGAATCAATGTGCACAGGTGCAATTCTTTCCAACAGAAATTTGACCATCTCTAGAAAAGGATTTGTTGGCTGCTTAGGATTGGCAAGTTTCCGGGCTATTTCTCTCTATAGGAAGGAAAAGAGTTTTACTGTAAGTATCATCCTTTCACGTTTTTCACATAAAGATGATCCCAGGCATCAAAAGCATTTAAGGATTCAATACCATCAGACGTAAAAAAAGAAAAAAACAATCTTTCTCTGCTTTATACCCTGACTAAAATGATATACTCCTTAGCCAAGCACTAGAAAATCTAGCCTGTAGAGGCAAAAAAGAGGGATAACATGGTATGATTTATACCTTTTGTCTCATATTTGTATGAAATTTCATATGAAATTACTACATAGTAGACAATCTTTAATGCTCTATATTTTTACAACTGATATGCATTTATTTATTTAATGCCTGCACCAGGTCTTAGCTGCAGCATGTGGGATCTAGTTCCCCGGCCAGGGATCAAATCTGGGCCTCTGCATTGGGAGTGTAGAGTCTTAACCACTGGACTACTAGGGAAGTCCCTTTAGTCTCCGCTTTTGAAAAAATTAAAACAATTTATACTGTCATGGGCATGTTTCAATAGTTTACTTCATAGTTTGAAAAAACTTTTCTTTCGGTCAACAATCTTCTTTTTTTTAAAGAGAAAACTTATAAGTGTATAAAGTTTTTCAGTTCTGGAAGATCATACTTGAGTTAAAAAATGGTGACATTATATCAAAGAGCTCCTGCAAAAGAAAAGATATTGCTGAAACTTTCTAAAGAATATAAGGACTTAATGATTTTAAGAGACTGAATCCTCCAAAGACAAGGTTAAATTTATAATGTGCTGGGTACTAGGGAAAGAAATTTACATTAATAACAAGGCTTCTCATTGATTATCTCTGATGAATAAGTGGAAATGTTAGTTGAGAAGATAAAACACATTAAAAGTGCTTTCCAAACTATAAAGCAATATAGCAAATAATAGTCACTCTATTTATTAGTTTTTTCATGAAAAACAAAAAATTTAAGGATATGCGTCCAAGGGGATAAAGGAAACAAATTTCTGTTGTAGTTTCAGTGATTTAAAAAAAATTAATTAATTAATTTGGCTTTGCTGGGTCTTAGTTGCAGCATTTGGGATCTAGTTCCCTAACAAGGGAATGACCCGGGCCCCCTGCATTGGCAGCAGGGAGTCTTAGCCACTGGATCACCTGGGAAGTCCCGCAGTGACATGTTGACACAAATTAATGATAAAGGTCATATTAAATTAGATAGCATCCATGTTTGCTATTAGAGTGTAAAAATCCAAAGGACTGAGATTCTGAAGAAGATTTATTAGTCACTAGGAAGTGCTTGATTTATTTTGCAAGTAGTAATTAAACAAGCAAAATTTCAGCATTTGAGAAAATAAATATTTTAGTCAGTGCTTAGGTCCTTATACACTTTGCTCTATACTACAAATACACATTTAAAATTAATTTTGTACTATCTTTTGAAATCAGACTTACTTTGTGCAAGTCTCCCTAAAGAGGGGATTTTCCTCCCACTTGGTATAAAATCTACTTGCTTTAACATAAGATAAAGTCAGTGATTGTCTAACAACAACTATGCCATTGGAAAATTGCTAGGCAAACTATATAGTCTGTATTAAAAAACGGAAGAACTAGGCATTAGAAAAGAACTATGGTATTACATATAAGTATAGGAAAAATAAAGGAAATGCTAACAGGAAAAAGAGTAAATCACATTTAAGCACAGTGATAGGACTATATAAAATATACCAATGTATATAAATAATAATATATTTAAATAATTCTTCAAACAATATTTTATGTATGTAATAATTAGGTAATGTCTCATAACAATTATTTTTTTAAAGTATACCTGTCATAATCATAAGTGTAAGCTTATACTGGGGATAAGCAACAAGCCAAATTAGTATGTGGTAAGTAGGCAGCAACAAATAAACAGTTTCCTTTGCACATTCAAAGAAAAAAGACTTCCCATATCTCTATTCTCCTGCATCCTACAATCAATTCACCCTGAGATGTTTTCCTTACATCTGTTTTGCATATACTTTCTGGATTTGGAAGCTCTTAGATATATATGTTCTGACAAATAGCAGAAATCACATTACTATCACTTTTCAAACTCAGAGTCCTATTTTTCTCAGACCAAAAAGTACCACTTGATTATTTTTTTATTTATTTTTTTGATTATTTATTCTTAAGATTTCTATTTCTTGAGCAGTACTCAGTTTGTATGGGTTCTTGCAAATGACAAAATATATAGAAAGAACACTGTCATGGGTCTATTAAGAGCTGGACTCTACCTGAAGCTCAGTCACTAGCTGTGAAACACTGGATGAGAAACTCCACCTCTTTAAAATGTAATCTTTATCTGTAAAATGAAGTGGTTAAACCAATTATCTCTATGGTATTTTTCAAGCCATTTCATTCTATGATCCAATTATATTAGTAAGATGCCCAGCAGAACACAGTATTCTGGAACTGGAATTCTAAATACCAAAGAAGTAAATGAAACCTTTAAATGTTGTCAGCAAACCATCCCATTCAGAAGTGCAAAGACAAGGTATTTTGGCCACTTGTCACATTCACATCCCTAGGCACAGTGGAAGAATCCACCGGTCTCTTCCCTAAACTGGCTTCCTCCCACCTCTTCTTAATTACTACTCTTTTATGATCCACTTAAAGATCCTATGTGCCTACTAGACTGAGGAAAAAAAAAAAACCACATTCCATGCTCCCAAATGACTTTGTATATACATCTGTTTATAGTCCTTATCCCTAATCACAGATTTAAATAATTATCTTTCTAGAGCAAAGTTAGACATAAATAACTAAAATGATTTTCTTTCTCTTATTCATCTGTATAAGCCTGGTCCCAAGCATAGTGTTTGTCATATATGTGCAATACTGTAGTGTTATATATGTGTAATACTGTCATATATGTGAAATACAAATTTATTATTATTTAAATCCTAAAGGGCAGTCCAGAACCATGTATTAGGCAGGATACCTATATCCATATCTATCTATATCCTCTTAACAACACTGTGAGGTTGTTAGCATTTAGAGATAAAAAAATGAGTCTCAAAAATACTAAACAACTTGCTAAAGGTCACACCAGTAGTAAATGGTAAAGATGAAATTAGAAACTGTCTCATAAAATGGTAAATAAATGAATGAATTTTTCCTTGGGTATTGTCAACAATTGGTTTTCTATAAAATAGCCTAAAAATAGAATGAAGACAAAAGCCTAAACAGGAATTACCTTCTCTATAAATGTGTATATGGCAACTTAACTATTGCTGATATACTGACAAGGGTTTTTCCCATGCCGATACATAGGAGAATACACACCCACAGACAAGAAAATTCTTATTTATCTAATAAATGTCTACTAAATACAAAGCATTTTATCTTGCTCAATTCCTAGGACCAATCTCCCTGGCTTACCTCTCTAGCGTTTTTCCTGGAATTTGACTGACGAGTGATAAGTAAAAAGAACCAAGCTGACCACAGATATACTCCTAGGTGATTCAGAGCTCACAATATTGTTACATTCACACAAATAAAATAATTTATGTAAAGCAGACTTTAATGAAATCTAAGTTTCTATAAGCAAAGCTAGGGGAACAAATACACAAGGATAATTTACTAACCACACAAACATCTGCCTGTTTGCATGAACAGGTTGGACTGATTAACAACTCCAACTGAGACCGCAGTTTCTCATCATCACCGAGAACTTGGTTAAATTTCTTCACAAAATCTTGTGCTTTCCCAGGATCAGGCAAATTCTCTAGAAGTTTAAAAGAGAATCAATACTACAAAAGAAAAACTATTAAACTAAAACCAAGCTTCTTAAAAAATACTGCTGTCCTATCAAAAGATAGACTATATGGAACTTAGAAATAAAATTATTAAGGATTATTTTTTCTTACTAAATAAGTATTAAACTGATAGTTCCACTGGGTAAATTATTTGATGTCTCCTATATACCTACAGAGTGAATAAACATACTCACTTGCTATGGTCATCAGTTTTCCAAACATAGCAGAACAGTTAGCTTCTGACTGAAATTTAAAACAAAAACAAATGATATCATATGTGCTAACAAAATTTCATTAAGAAAACCTATACTCAAAAAAAAAAAAAAAAAAAAGAAAAAGAAAACCCTATACTCAACATTGTACATTTTCTTAAGTTAAAAAAATCCATCATGATATACCCAGTAGGAAATGGCTTACTGTATCTACACTCCATGTAGATAACAACCAACCATGGAGTGACAACTATTAAACTAGCACAAACAGAAGGAAAGGATATGCCAGCAGGAAGGTATTTTAAAAATTATATAACTTTCATAGGGAAATTATCTTGTCAGAAAACAGAACAGAAAATAATGAAAACAATTATATCAAAATTACTGTGAAAATATACACCAAAGAAAATTAACTAAAAATGTGTAAAGTAGAAAAATTTTCTTTCTGAATAGTTCTACTAGCTATTCTGTGGCCCATTAACCAATCTACCACTTTCCTTCCTACTGCACTTTCCTCCATTACTAGAGTACTATTTTATTAATGAATCTGTATGATCCTATTGTCTTCCTGCTTTTGCTAAAGTTTTGTTGGATCACAATCATGCCCATCTTTTATGAACTATCTGTGTTTCTGCACCACAGAGGCAGAGTTAAGCAATTCCAGAGACTGTATGGTCATTTACCAAAAATAAAAAAAGACAATACTTGCTTTAGGCATCCACGGCCACTGAGGGGTCTCTGTGTATGGTTCCCTGGCTAAGTACACCTACTCTAGCAAATATGTTTAGAAGTATTTAGAAGTAATAAGAGATTATTTATGTTTCTTTTTTCAACCTTCCGAAAATGCTGGGCAGTATTTCTTTATTAATTTGACTTTGAAATATTCAAAGGATTGATACCTGATTTGATACTGATGCTACAATGACAGACCAAAAGTCAAAGAGGAAAAAAATTTGACTTCTAATATAATTTTATATTGAGGTTTAATTCTAATTATTTGAAAATTGATAAACTATAAATTCTTAGTGTCAAAATACTTGATATACTAGAAAACACCATTTCTGTGCTCATGCTGAAAAATAAGATTTTTAAAATACCCATGTGAAATGCAAATTTATCTTGGATAACCACAGAAACTAACTGACATTTGGAAAACAAAACACCTGAGATACCTTTTGCTTGCTTCATTATACAGAAAAATTAACAATGACTGAAACTGTGAATTTAAACAAATCACGAACTTACTGTAGGCTGCTTGTGCAAATCCAACAATTCTCGTACATGACTTCTAAGCATGTTCTGACACTTCCACATTTCATTGAGAGCTCTGTAAATAAAGTTATAAATATGAAAGATGCACATAATATAACAATACTGGTAATTATTCAACTTTACTGCTTTTCTCACTGAATGGTGTAGATAACACCATTCTTCTACATCTACCTAAAATTTAAGCTTCAGAAAATTTACTTATTAGGATTAAGATAGTTTGGTTTAAAATAGTAAATATAAGGCTTCTTATGAGAGAAATTATTTGAGAAGTTTTCAAGGATGAATAGGATCTTGCCAGGTAAAATGAAGGAATTCAAAGACATTCTAAGCAGAGGTAGCCAAAAAGTTCTGCTACAAACAGAGAGAAAAGTGTAATTAAAGTACATGGCACACACAGGGACACGAAAAAAATTCATAGGCTTGGAGCACAGAATGTGAATGGGGGAGCATAAGGAAGCTGGAAATTACTATAGAAAAGGATCAGACCGTGAAAGGCCAGGCTAAGGAGGTATGCATAAAACAGTGCAGATGACTTCAAAAATGAATTTCTTAGAAATGATGTGGATTCAAAACATGCCAAATTTAAATTGAGTTTCTTTACTCTAGATTCTTCTCTTTCCTTGACAGTAGATTTTCTTCTCTTACAAACCCACTCTGTAATTTCAGGTGCTCAAATTAGTTTATTTCTGAGTACTCTTTGCCAAATATAAAGAGAGATCAAGACCTTTGGCCCAGAATTTACTATCTAAAGTGAGTATTATAAGCTACTTGCAAATCCTTAAAATGATGGCTGATGTCTTCTAATAGGGTATGTTACTCTGTGGACTTTCTGCTGAAAACACATAATCTCAATCCAATGAGGAGGAAACACTGAATGAACCTGAACTGAGAGAACACTATAAAATAACTGACCTATGCAATACTGTTCTGAGAACCGTCAAAGTCATAAAAGTCCAAGACAAACTGAGAAATGGTTCCAAATTTAAAAAGACTAGAGACGTGATAATTAAACATGCAACATGTAATCCCAGAAAGGGAACAAAAATCCATGAAGGACATTATTTGGACAATTGAGGAAATTTGAATAAACACTGGGTTATACAATATTAAACCTCCTGACTTTCATAAAAGCACTCTAGTTATATAAAAGAATATTCTTGTAACTAAGGAATACCTATGTATTAGATGTAAAGGAATGCAGTGTCTGCAAATTATTATCTATGGATCAAAAGAAAATATGTATATAAAGTACATGCAAATGATAAAGCAAATGGTCAAAAATTAGGAATCTCACTAAATGGGACTTAAAAAAGCTTTGTTACTATTTTTGAAACTTTTCTGCAAATTTGAAACTATATGAAATTAAAGACAATATATATACATGTAAATGTAATAGCGGAGGTTTTTACTCAGGAGAATCAGAATTCTCAATGAGAGGAGTCATTTACTTTTTTAAAAGCTTTATTAAAGTGGAATGCCCACAGATTCTAAGTGGCCTGGGATAGTTAAGATTTATGGTGGCTGTCTGAACAGAATTATTAATAGTGCCTTCTTTCAATCTCAAAAATACCTGTAGAATAAATACATGTAGAATAAATCATACAGTTATTCCACAAAGAAATGATCTGGACATGTTCTCCTGACAAAGAACCAGTTCTTACTTCTTAGGCTTAGTATGGTAAACCTCCAATACGGTGATTTAGATCCCAGTCAACAGGTGCACAACAGACAATTCTGACATGGGGCCTTCTCTGAATTCCTGAAACCATATTGCTCAGCTGCCAAATATACCTATGCATATAGGAATATTTTTGCTTTTAACTTACTTGAATTTATATGATAAAAATTTTTGCTATAAATATTTATCTGAGGTTCTTGATTCAACTAGAAGAAGCAATAACTCTATCAACAGCAGTTAATTAGAAATGATTAAGTAAATAACTATATAAAACACTCAAGAATCATTTAAAAAGTAACTTACTTGACAGCATTTGGATCCAAACTAGCATATAAATAATACAAGCATTTCATTCTCTCTTCTGTTTCCAGGTTGTGGGGGACAAGATACTGAGCAAAGATTTTCTCTACCAATAGTCTATGAAGCAAACAAAGAGAAAAAGAACCAAGTAACAAAATTATTCTGTTTTTCAGAAGCAAAAGCCATTTGATATCTTAACCACCTTCTGCAAAGATACCATACCAATGGTGATACCGATGTGTGCAAATGAATGGAAAAGGTCAGTGTGTGATCAATGTTTTCCCTTCAAAGTACAGTTATTTTCAAATTTAGAGCTGCAGGTGTTACTTACGGCTTTACACTGTGTCAGCCGGAAACATCTGTTCTAAAGGGGTTATATATTATTCCTAAGCACAGGATGCTAAGCCTGTTCCACCTGTTCATCATCATCAGTCTGGAGTCATCAGAAATTATTTAACATTACAAATAAGGCTACAATCAAGAATTACTAATTCTCAAAAAATGTATCAATTTCCTCTGATTACAGTTTGGCTCCTTTCCCATGTTGTCATTTTGTAAAATCAAGGTGATCTTCCTTCATCATCCTGAAAATCAGCTTCTCTTATGCAGATCTGTCTTCATTCCACATTCTAATCTCCTTACCATATTTAAATATCCTTCTTGCTAAGCTTATATTTATTATTCAGCATCACTAGAACAAGGATTCTTATTATAAGGATTATAATTATTAAACTATTCTTATTTAATCCTTATTAAATATAAGGATTCATTAGCCAATGAAATACATAATCAATAATGTCAAAGTAGTCAGTCTAAATAAAACACTGCAAAGTATTTTGCAAAAAACAAAATTAATAACTATAATCCAATAGAGAATTATGAGTAATATTCAGAAAGGGAAAACAACTTAAGTTCTCATCTCAACAAAAGAATTTTCTATATATGAGGATGGAAGTTAGACTTACTAGGTGATCATTTGGCAATATATACAAATATAGAATCATTATGCTTATATACTTGAAACATAATGCTATATGTCAATTATGCCTCAAAAAAAAAAAAAAAGAACAGTAATACCTCAATTAGTACTTAGAGTGTTGCAAAAAGGAAAAATAACTAGCACTTAAAAAACAGTGCTACACTGCCAGGCAGTGGGCCAGGGGGCTTTACATTCATTATTTTATTTAATTCATAAGACAATCCCGTAAGGAAGGCTTTACTCTGACTATGTTTTAGGTAAAATCAAGTGCACAAAAGTTAAACCCATTGTGCAACAGTACACATCTAATAAGGGGTAGAATGAACACTTGGTCTCTGCTCTGAGTCCAACTCTCATGCCTGTATTTCACAATTATTATGCTAACTGATAATTCTGGCTATAGTCTTATTTAAACATGATACATCTAAACATGAAGAAAGTGATTTCTGAACTTAGAAACTAAGTATTACGAAAAAAATCAAACAGAAACCATATTAAAAAATTAAAAACACTTTTATATTCAACCATTTTACCGACATATGAAACTCACTTGTCATCGATGCTATTCTGATAATATATATGCAAAAGTTTGTCCTTTATCCAGCTGACTTTCTCTGCAGCTTCCTTCCCTGCTTCACCATGAAGACAGTATTTCTTATAAAGCTGAGCCAGACCCATCATAGCTTCTTTTCTTACTCGCCACTAGAAAGTACAAAGTTTACTAGATGAGCTAGATACCAAATTTTAGTATACTAACTGGCAAAAATGACTTCTTCCAATAGGCTGCACAGATTTAGGTGTGCATAGATTAGCACAATATTTATTTTCATAAAAGACAAATCACTTAAACAACAATTTTGATTATGTTTCTGTTTAGAAATCAGACTAGTTTCCAAATTATCCAGTGCTGCTACTACTGTATCACCTATCAATTTTTTATTTTCTTCAAAGCCAAGCAACAATAAATCTTACAAAAAAATCTCATCTGATTCCGTCTAAAAAAAAAATTTGGCCAAGTTTTAGAAGGGATTAAAAAATAAGAGAAACTGTACAATTCAGTCTACAAACAAAAGCCGAATCATCTGGAATGTTATATCCTAGTTATATCCCTTTTGATATTAACTCAGAAGAGAAAACGGGGGTGGGAGGTTGGAGAGAGGTTCAAGAGGGAAGAGACATATGTATCAGTTCAGTTCAGTTCAGTCGCTCAGTCGTGTCCAACTCTCTGAGACCCCATGAATCGCAGCACGCCAGGCCTCCCTGTCCATCACCAACTCCCGGAGTTTACTCAAACTCATGCCCATCGAGTCAGTGATGCCATCCAGCCATCTCATCCTCTGTCGCCCCCTTCTCCTCCTGCCCCCAATCCCTCCCAGCATCAGGGTCTTTTCCAATGAGTCAACTCTTCGCATGAGGTGGCCGAAGTACTGGAGTTTCAGCTTCAGCATCAGTCCTTCCAAAGAACACCCAGGACTGATCTCCGTCAGGATGGACTAGTTGGATCTCCTTGCAGTCTAAGGGACTCTCAAGAGTCTTCTCCAACACCATAGTTCAAAATCATCAATTTTTCGGCACTCAACTTTCTTCACAGTCCAACTCTCACATCCACACCTGACCACTGGAAAAACCATAGCCTTGAACAGACAAACCTTTGTTGTCAAAGTAATGTCTCTGCTTTTTAATATGCTATCTAGGTTGGTCATAACTTTCCTTCCAAGGAGTAAGCGTCTTTTAATTTCATGGCTGCAATCACCATCTTCAGTGATTTTGGAGCCCCCCCAAAATAAAGTCTGACACTGTTTCCACTGTCTCCCCATCTATTTCCCATGAGGTGATGGGACCAGATGCCATGATCTTAGTTTTCTGAATGTGGAGCTTTAAGGCAACTTTTTCACTCTATTTCACTTTCATCAAGAGGCTTTTTAGTTCCTCTTCACTTTCTGCCATAAGGGTGGTGTCATCTGCATATCTGAGGTTATTGATACTTCTCCCAGCAATCTTGATTCCAGCTTGTGCTTCTTCCAGCCCAGCGTTTCTCATGATGTACTCTGCATATAAGTTAAATAAGCAGGGTGACAATATACAGCCTTGATGTACTCCTTTTCCTATTTGGAACCAGTCTGTTGTTCCATGTCCAGTTCTAACTGTTGCTTCCTGACCTGCATACATGTTTCTCAAGAGGCAGGTCAGGTGGTCTGGTATTCCCATCTCCTTCAGAATTTTCCCCAGTTTATTGTGATCCACACAGTCAAAGGCTTTGGCATAGTCAATAAAGCAGAAATAGATGTTTTTCTGGAACTCTCTTGCTTTTTTGATGATCCAGCAGATACTGGCAATTTGATCTTTGGTTCCTCTGCCTTTTCTAAAACCAGCTTGAACATCTGGAAGTTCTCGGTTCACGTATTGCTGAAGCCTGGCTTGGAGAATTTTGAGCATTATTTTACTAGCGCGTGAGATGAGTGCAATTGTGCGGTAGTTTGAGCATTCTTTGGGATTGCCTTTTTGTGGGATTGGAATGAAAACGGACCTTTTCCAGTCCTGTGGCCACTACTGAGTTTTCCAAATTTGCTGGCATATTGAGTGCAGCACTTTCACAGCATCATCTTTCAGGATTTGAAATAGCTCAACTGGAATTCCATCACAGCCACTAGCTTTCTTCGTAGTGATGCTTTCTAAGACCCACTTAACTTCACATTCCAGGATGTCTGGCTCTAGGTGAGTGATCACACCATTGTGACTATCTGGGTCATGAAGATCTTTTTTGTACACTTCTTCTGTGTATTCTTGCCACCTCTTCTTAATATCTTCTGCTTCTGTTAGGTCCATACCATTTCTGTCCTTTATGGCTAATTCATGTTGATGAATGGCAGAAAGCAAAATAATACTGTAAAGCAATTATCCTCCAATTAAAAAAGCAAAATTTGGTATCAAAATATTAGAGTTATAAAGTTGGAAAGCACATTAGTGATAGTATTAAGTGAATTTTATTACTTTGTTATCAAAAGGGCAAATCAGATACCTAGGCACACCCTAATCCATGAAAGACTCTGGGAGTTAAAGCATTGGAGGGGTTTAAGAGGAGGGAAGAAAGGTGATCAGAGGAGGGTGGACAGAAAAGGAGATTATAAAAATCTAGAGTCAGAAAGACAAAAGAACAATATAATAATAACCACAAGGTACTTATCTCTAATAAATCAGAGTATACTTATCTTTGGTTTATTTAATACTTTTCTTGAAATTTTTTTTGGTATACTTTTCTCAAGTTTAGATTACTTAGTAGGTGAAATGAAACTGTTCCCATATAACAAGTAAAAGATGCCTTTTGACATTTCTAACATGAAACCAAAGAATGTAAGCAGTGAAATCGAAGATTTTAATTCACCCCCACTTTTTAGAGAAAACAAAATTTAGAAAGGCTATACTCTAGGTTATTTAATTCATTACACGAAAATAACAGTTCCTAAAACGTCCAGTAGGTGTTATTAAGACCATATCATACAATCTCAGTTAGCAAGAATCATTTACTCAGCTCATCCTGAAATTACAAACACTGACAGAAGTAGAAGTGAAATGTTCTAAAAGGAAGAAGTAATAAAAATGGCAATACTTGAAATCTGGTTTGGGGGCTGGGGAGGTGGTAATTAACTACTAAGCAGTAGGGAGTGTTATTTCATTTAAATTACTGCCAAGGGGAAAAAACTCTTCAGACAGAGAATTAATGACACAGTTGAACAAGTTAAGTGGTGTTTATATATCTCTGCCTCCTATGACTATTTCAAAACAATTTAAAGAATGCATCTTGCTATATATTTCTATAGCAAGATACTGCTTTTCTATCTTGAAATTATAGCTAAACTGCATTAGTTTCAGGATGGTAGGAGATTTTAAAACTGTGCTTCAAATAAAATAGCACACTTTCAAAGGCAACCTTTGTTAAAGATGTTAATAAGTAACATGTTTTATCAGCCTGCCTTGCCTATATGTCTCTTATGGTTGACACTTTTTCTTAGCAACTATTACTGTTCTTAGTACTACTTTTATCAACCCACATTTTTAATTGCATCCACATACAGGAAATTACACAAAGAATAATGACTAAACATCATTTTGGCTCTAAGCTTAGCATAGCAATATGGAAACACCACTTTCACAGTAAGTATGATATTCCAAGACAGGTACTGCTGCAAATGCTAAGCATAAAGGAAACAAATGATGATGATCACTGTTCTTCTGAAACTCATCATGTAAGTGAAAAGGTAAAACAAAACTTTAATTTTGCTGCTCGTTTTGTAAAGGTGAGCTAAAAAACCCATACCTAGGATATGAAAAGCTACAGAATCCAATGTATTCATTTGTAAAAATAATGAAAAATTTGCCAGAAATACATAAATTCTGAGCTCTTTATATTTGGTATTGTATTAATTTGACTTTCAAGATAACTTTAAATATAATTTCTATTGTATTTTGCTAACAATGTAAACATAGTAAATCATAAAAGAATAAAATTCCTCAGGTTTTACCCGTTTATCCAGTGTTCTTTCTCTTACAAAGCCAAGTAGCTGATCATTCACTAAGGCAAGGTCTCTTTTGGCAGCAGTTATTATAGTAACAATAACATCATGACGAATAGCTTCTTCTGGATCATGGGATCGAACTTTCAAATATTCTGAGACAGAAAAAATTAAGCTAAATGTAAGCTATAATATTCATTATGTTCACAATGACAAAAAAAAACAAAAACCCTAATGCTTTGATGTCTATATACTGGAACAACTCTAAAATGAGGCATAAATTAAAATCATTTAATTTTTGAGGTGGCCATTACATAATAACAAAGTGAACTATATCATACTAGTTGTTACTGAAAAGTTACATCTTAACAAATAATATTTTATATCAACTATCATGGAAAAGTTAAATCAGTACCTGATTTGAAATCAAAGTAGCACCTGATTTATACAATACATATTAAAAGACTCAAAGAAAAATACAATAAACGTTCTTATAGCATTGCACAATATAAAATAACATTCTCTGACCTCTAAAAAACATCCTAGATAATTATGAAACGAAAAAAGTTATTTCCTCTCTTTCTGGCAAACACTTTATTTTTGGAAAAACTGATAAAAATTTGGTAAAAAGTTTATTTTTGTTTGTGCTGGGTCTTTGTTGCTGTGCAGGCTCCTCCCTAGTCGTGCAAGCGGGGGCTCCTCCCTAGTCGTGCAAGCGGGGGCTCCTCCCTAGTCACGCAAGCAGGGGCTCCTCCCTAGTCGTGCAAGCAGGGGCTCCTCCCTAGTCGTGCAAGCGGGGGCTCCTCTCTAGTCGTGCAAGCAGGGGCTCCTCTCTAGTCGTGCAAGCAGGGGCTCCTCCCTAGTCGTGCAAGCAGGGGCTCCTCCCTAGTCGTGCAAGCGGGGGCTCCTCTCTAGTCGTGCAAGCAGGGGCTCCTCTCTAGTCGTGCAAGCAGGGGCTCCTCCCTAGTCGTGCAAGCGGGGGCTCCTCTAGTCGTGCAAGCAGGGGCTCCTCCCTAGTCGTGCAAGCGGGGGCTCCTCCCTAGTCGCGCAAGCAGGGGCTCCTCTAGTCGTGCAAGCAGGGGCTCCTCCCTAGTCGCAGTTCTGAGTTCTCACGGTGGGAGTGCCTCCTGCTGTGGAGCATGAGTTACAGGGTGCGTGGACTCGGCAGTTACGGCTCCCAGGCTCTGGAGCACAGGCGTGGCAGGTGCGGCACACAAGCTGAGCTGTGCTGTGGCATGTGGGGCCTTCCTGGTCAGGGATCGACCCGTGTCTCCTGCATTGGCATGCAGACGCCTTACCACTGAGCCGCCAAGGCGGCCTGGGAAACAGTATCCAACTGTGGTGGTGCAGCCACTAAGCTGAGTCAGGCTCCTGCAACCCCATGAGCAGCAGCCTGCCGGGCTCCCCTGTGCACGGCATTTCCGAGAACACTGGGGCGGGCAGACAGCTCCTCCTCAAGGGCACGTTCCCGACCCAGGATCGGGCAGGAGTCTCCTGCACTTCAGGCAGGTTCTTCACTGCTGAGCCTCCTTACACTGAGCCTGGAGCCCAAGTATTCTGATAGAGGCTATTTATTTGTTACAACCAAGTAAGTAGGTTTAAACACTTTATTTCAAGTGAAGAATGAGAATTTCTACTAATCTATTTCAGAAGAGATCACTTATCTACTTATTTTTAGACAAGTTACTATACTTAATTATCATAGATGTAATGATTTGTGCCCAAATTGGAACGCACAAGGAAGAGTCTACTTCTTTAAACTGTGATTCCAGAAAATTCCAAAGGATTACAATGTGAAGATTTCAAATTTAATTTTATTGTATAAACATGAAATCACTTACTAATCCATGACTGTTAAGAGACCTGAAACAGTGCCAGAGTGAAACCTATTCAGAAACCGAACTTAAAGTCAAAGGCCACATCTAAAATATATTTGTGTGATTGCATTCATATTTCAATAGACCAGCCACCTTACCTGTGAGATCCTTTGCTAAATCTGGGTGATTCATTAAACAGTGACTGGCAAATTTCACACTTTCTAATCTCACAGGAACATGAATGTCATTAAATCTATACAGAAAAAGATTGCTAAATATTAGTTGTAAGGCAAAATAACTATTTTCAAATAAGGTACATCAACAGTACATAAATACCTATAAAAAAAAACAATGGTTACTGATTAGAAAATATGCTGGTTATTAAAATGACAGTTACATCATTCTGAAGAAGAATATAAAATAAAAAATATATAATTTCATGATATTTTTTTACAACAGGATTTTCACCATGCTAAAACAAAACAGTATAAAACATCCCCCAACCCAAACTATGCATGTTGAAGAGCCAAAAATTGTAGCTTAAAATTATGCCACAAGACAAACAAAAAATAAATATTCTTAATGCACAAAATCTATCTGAGAAAAGTTTACAGGAGAAAAATGCTAGAAGAATGTGAGGTAGAAAGCCAGGGCAGACCCAGAGATAACTACACAAAATACATGTGCCATACTGCCTCACGGCAAAAAAGGCTCCACGTGGCTGGAACCACCTGCAACTGCCCTTTCTATTGTTCCTGTTTAGTTGCTAAGTCCTGGACAATTCTTTGCCACCCCACTGACTGCAGTCCACCAGGCTCCTCTGTTCACGGGATATCCAGGTAAGAACACTGGAATGGGTTGCCTTTTCTTCTTCAGGGGATCTTCCTGACCCAGCGTTCAAGCCCATATCTGCACTGGCAGGCAAATTCTTTACTGGTGAGCCACCAGTATTCAGTTCAGTTCAGTTCACTCAGTCATGTCCGCATTTTGTAACCCTATGAACCGCAGCACACCAGGCCTCCCTGTCCATCACCAACTCCCGGAGTTTACACAAACTCAAGTCCATTGAGTCAGTGATGCCATCCAACCATCTCATCATTTTTTTTTTTTTTAGATTTCACATATAAGTGAAACCATACAGTATTTGTCCTTCTGTTTGACTTGTTACCCTTAGCATAATTCTCTCTAGGTCCATCCATGTTGTCCCAAATGGTAAGATGTCTTTCTTTATGGAGGAGTAAGATTCCATCGTGTATGTATATACCACATCAACTTTATCCACTGATGTGCTGTTTGGGCACTCGGGTTGCTTTCCTGTCTTGGCTATTATCAACAATGACGGGGTCAACATGGGGCTAGTGCATCTATCTTTTCTGATTAGCGTTTCTGTTTTCCTCAGGTAAATACCCAGGACTGTAATTTCTGGATCACATGACAGTGTCATTTTAAATGATCTGAGGAACCTCCAGACTGTTTTTGACGGTGGCGGCACCAATTTACACTGCCATCAACAGTGCACAATGGGTTCCCTTTCCTCCACATCTCTGCCAACACTTGTTATTTGTAGTCGTTTTGATAACAGCCATTCTGACAGGTGTGAGGTGGTATCTCATTATGGTTTTGATTCGCACTTCCTTAATGATTAGTGATGTTAAGCATCTTTTTAAAAAATACATTTACTTATTTTTAATTGACTGATCGGTTTACAACATTGGTTTGATTTCGATCATACATCAACATGAATTAGGCAAAGGTGTACAAATATCCCCTGATCTTGAGCATCTTTTCATGTCTTCGGAAAAATGTTTATCAGATCTTCTCCAATTTTTATAACAAGTTGCTTGCTTTTTTGATGTTGACTTGAATGAAGTATTTATATATTTAGATATTAACAACTTATGTATATTACTTGGAAATACCTTCTCCCATTCAGTAGAATTATTCATCCTAGTTCTGTGAAAAAGGCCATTGGTATTTTGATAAGGATTGCACTGAATCTGTAGATTGCCTTTAACAATATTAATTCTTTCAATCCATAGACAAAGTATATCTTTCCGACTCTCTGTGTCATCTTCAGTTTGGTTCATCAGTATCTTAGTTTCCCAAGTACAGGTCTTTTGCCTCCTTAGGTAGGTTTATTCTGAGGTATTCTATTCTCCATGATGTGGCTGTAAATGGGATTATTTTCCTAATTTTTCTGATAGTTCATTGTTAGTATATTCAGATGCAAAGATTTCTGTTTATTGATTTTTGTATCCTACAACATACTCAAATTCATTGATGAATTCTAGTAGTTTTCTGGTGGCATCTTTAGGATTTTCTATGTAGTATTCTATGTCATCTGCAAATAGTGAGTTAGGACCTCACAGAGGCAGAAGATATTAAGAAGAGGTGGCAAGAACACACTGAACTCTATAAAAACTGTCTTAATGACCAGGATAACCATGACAGTGTGGTCACTCACCAAGAGCCAGATATCCTGGAATGTGAAGTCAAGTGGCCATAGGAAGCATTGCTACAAATAAAGCTAGTGGAGGTGATGGAAATCCAGCTGAGCTCTTTAAAATCCTTAAAGATGATGTTTAACTGCTGCACTCACATGTCAGCAAATTTGGGAAACTCAGCAGTGGACGCAGGACTGGAAAAGGTCAGTTTTCATTCCAATCCCAGAGAAGGGCAGTGCCAAATAATGTTCAAACTATTGGACAATTACGCTCATTTAGCAGGCAAGTTAACATTATGCTCATGGGGTTGCAAAGAGTCAGACACGACTGAGAGACTGAACTGAACTGAACTGAAGGTAATGCTCAAAATCCTTCAAGCCAGGTTTCAGTAGTACATGAACAGAGAACTTCCAGATGTGCAAGCTGGGTTTAGAAAAGTCAGGGGAATCAGAGATCAAATTGCCAACATTCACTGGATCATATAAAAAACAAGGGAATTCCAGAAAAACATCTATTTCTCCTTCATTGACTACATTAAAGCCTTTGACTGTGTGGATCACAATCAACTGTGGAATAGTCTTAAAGAGATGGAAATATCAAACCACCTTTCCTGACTCCTGAGAAACCTGTATGTAGGTCAAGAAGCAACACTTACAACTCGACACAGAAAAAGGGGTTGGTTTAAAATTGGGAAAGGACTATGATATGGCTATATATTGTTACTCTAGTTTATTTAACTTATATGTGGAGTACAGCATGCAAAATGCTGGGGAGGATGAAGCACAAGCTGGATCAAGATTGCTGGGAGAAATATCAGCAACCTCAGATACACAGATGATTCCACTCTTAACGGCAGACAATGAAGAGGAACTAAAGAGCCTCCTGATGAGGGTGAAAGAGGAGAGTGAAAAAGCTGGCTTAAAACTTAGCATTCAAAAAACTAAGACCATGGTACCTGGTCCCATCACTTCACTGCAAACAGAAGGGGAAAAAGCAGAATCAGTAACAGATTTTATTTCCCTGGGCTCCAAAATAGTGACTGCAGATAGTGAATGCAGCCATAAAATTAAAAGACGCTTGCTCCTTGGAAGAAAAGCCATGACACAGTGTATTAAAAAGCAAAGATATCACTTTGCTGACAAAGGTCTGTATAGTCAAAGCTATGGTTTTTCCAGTAGTCAGGCACGGATGTGAGAGTTGGGTGCCAAAAAACTGATGTTTATGCTTTCTAACTGTATTGCTGGAGAAGACTCTTGAGAGTCCCTTGGACACCAAGGAGATCAAATCAGTCAACCCTAAAGGCAATCGACCCTGAATATTCCACTGGAGGACTGAAGCTGCAGCTCCAATACTTTGGCCATGTGATGCAAAGACCTGACTCACTGGAAAAGACCCTGCTGCTGGGAAAGACTGAAGACCAAAGGAGAAGAGGGAGGCAGAGGATGAGACGGTTAGATAGCATCACCGACTCAATGGGCACGAGTCTGAACAAACTCCAGAAGAAAGTGAAAGACAGGTGAGCCTGGCATGCTGCAATCCATGGGGTTGCAAAGAGCTGGACATGACTCAGTGACTAAACAACAATAATAATCACTGACACAATTTCATTACTGTTGATTTGTACATATTTTCTGTTTCTTTCTGGTTCAGTCGTGGGAAACAATACATTTCTAGGAATTTGTCCATTTCTTCTAGGTTGTCTGCTTTGTTGGCATATAATTGATCATAGATAATGTGATTTTAAACATTGAAAACATTTATATTTTTGAAGTGATCTTGTAAATAACCAATAAAACTAAAGTTATTTAACAAACACCTAAATACCCATGGCTGCCTACTTTCTTATCCACAGATAACTGTCATATTTTAATAAAATATTTCATTTAGGATTTATAATCTTCTAACTGCCAGAGAGAAGTGAGAATATTACTATTCGTGATCAAGTATCAAAACACTTATTACTAAATAATTAAGGGAAATAATCCAGTACAACAGATATGCTAAAAATACTTCTTTGTTTACATGAATAAGAGACCCATTACGAGGAAACCAGTGAATGTAAAATTTTCAGTATAAGAAGTCTCTTACTGTTGATTTAGTTTTTATAAGTTATGCAAGTGAAAAATGGAGTCTTGAATTTTTGTTTAAAGGTTTTTCTACATATATTAATGTCAATCACAAGGACAGATACACTCCTCTCTGTACTGACAAGTAGAACTGTTTCATTCCCTCGAAATTCTTATAAATTCAAGTTTAATCAATCAAATGGTCAGAATATATTCAAGACCTTCAAAACAGCCTGTCCTGAGCAAATAACTTAAGATATCACTATGTCAGTGTCTCCAGCTTGTTATAATATGTGATCTATTTATTTGGCTGTCTCAGGTCCCAGTGGCGGCATACAGGATCTTCACTGCATCATGGGGGCTTAAGTTCTCTGTGTCATATGGGATCTTAGCACCCTGCCCAGGGACTGAACCCGTGTCCCTTGTATTGTGAGGTGGAGTCTTATCCACTGGACCACCACGCAAGTCTCTTATTTGTTTTATTTTAGCATTTAACATAGGGTTACTATAACAATTATTATAGTGAGTTTACTTTAAGAAAAATTTTGGAGCCCGTTTCCTGAATCAGTTGAATTAGCCAATGATGAATTTCAAATGTTCTCTAGAATATTAATAAAAATTGACTTTTTAATCAATGTTTGAAGCAAAGAAACATGTAAATGTAACACAAGAAAGCAATTTAATAAATTTCTTAGATTTTCCAACCTTACCATCAAGTTGAATAGAACACAATAATTCCAAGTTCTTCAGAAGGAACATTAAAAACTTTGAGTATAGAGCAGTGCTACTTTCCATTTCAAAATTATACAATACCGAATTGTTTAAAATACACATCTTGCTACCAGATAAGCTACATATCTCAAGGATAAGCACCAGTAAATAATAAGTAAACTGTCTGAGTGAAATATGGCATGGACTGGGCCATGATGTCTTCAGTCTCATGATTTATTTAAAAATTTTAAAACTCTGCAGATCTTCAAATGTTTATTCTAATGACATTATTTTAGCACACGCAAGAAAGATTAAAACCTGTTATGTGGGTAAATAAGAAAAAGCTTTCTTCATAAAAAATTTCTCTTCACTTTACTCTCCAAGATGAAGACAGAAACATTGGTATTAAAGAAACATATATCAGTTTGAGATATGTGGTTTTAATCAGGTGTGCCATACTGACTAGCCTCCAAAACATAAGAGTCCCCAGAATTGTTTGTTCTCTTACCGTCCAAGAAAACACTGCCACAGAGGACGATTCTGTGTTGCTAAATCAGAATCTTTAGAACCAAACAATTTAGCTAAAAGTCGAACAACAGCTAATCGTTCTTCTCCATCATTGCTCTAAGGGAAAAAAGAAAATAAATAAAGCTGAGATTTATTTATCAGATTATAATAAATAACACAAAATAGTCCCAAGAAGCTGCAATTTCACTATTTTTGCTTATAATGATGAAAACTTTAAAATATCATATTTTCTCATTTACTATGCAGAAGTTGATTTAATTCCACGTTAGATCATCAGGTCCTTTGTTCTTATTTCATTCCCTCTCAACTGTTAATTTACGCCTGTTTCTCTGCTTGCTTGCTGCAATCTGCACTGATGCTGTAGAAATATGAAGATAACGATTTAATTCTAACATTCCCTAAGAGTCCTAGAAAAAATTCTGTGAACAGAACACCTACAAATAATTTATGCCCTACAATTTCATCTCCAACATAAACCCATATCAATTAAGGTTTTGATATGGGAAGGTTTTTTTTTGGTATATGAAGTTTTAATCAATGATCCCCTCATGACTGGAGCACAAAATACTGAAGAATGTCATGATTCAGGAAAACTCATTGTAATAGAAGACAATGAATCTTATGAGGATCTAAAAAGTCAGGTGAATTGAACACTACAAAAAAGCAAAACTTCGTTTTTGACAGGGGCCTATTTTCTTATCCTGAATCAATATACAGTATAAAAATGTCCTTCATTTCACTACTGATGTCACATTAATATATACTGAATTATTCCAAAACCACATGGTGCATGAAATTTTTTAAAAGTCACACACTCTCTAGGAAAATAAAGACAATAACCAGAAGCAATTGCTAATTTCTAAAGTGTTCAAATACACTAACAAAAAGCAACTGCTAATTTTTAAAGTGTTCAAATACAGTGTGTCTAAAGTAATACCAGAAAGTCAATACATAGATATTCATGGGAAAAGATAGCAAGTTAAAAAAGAAAGACTAGAGGAGGTATCACCTTTTTTTAAAGAATGCTTTAATTTTCAGAGATAGGGGTTTTGTGGTTAAAAAATAGGCACTTACCAAGAGGTAAAAATGAAAATTCAAGGTTTAAAACTACAAAAATGATTTTCTTTGACAAAGTCTTTCTCAAACAATGTGACTACAATGCAGATTAGTGCTGCCTTCTGTAAGTTCAACTGACTAGCTAATATGATTTATTTTCTTTTTAAAGAAAAATCAATCTATCCCTTAAATTTCAAACACTAGAAGAAGTGGAAATCTTACTTTACTTGAAAGTGACCACTTCAGTAGCCTGATTATCTCACATGTGACATTTCACATCCATATAATATAACTACCGAAATAAAACTAAATGAAAACTTACCACTCACCTCCTGCCTTTTTTGATTTTTAAATATGTTCCTTGAGTGAGACTGGAATATGATGATAATGAAGGGAATATTTTTTCTGGTGCAAAAACTATTTGGTGTCTCTGATATATAGCTATGTTGGTAATCTATCTCAAAGTGAAAATTATCTCACTGAGCTATTACCTAATATATTGTTTGAATACAAATACATATATAAAGTATTAATTAAAATAATGGATAAAAATCAGAAATTCTGTATTGATAATTTATTAGTGGCTTTCTAAAAGAAATTCAAAAGGCCACCTAGTTTTTATTTTTCTTCAACCTTAGTTGGAAAAGGTAACCAACTGTTACTGTTTCTAATTACAAAGTAATCGATTCAGAACAATATTCTCAGTAAAAATTTTCTCCAACCAAAATAAAGCAATTATGATTGTGTTTTAATGTTTTAAATTAAGGAATAAATATAAATGCCTGTCTATTTCTGCCTAACATGAAAAAATTATAATGTAAAATGTAGCAAATTTTCTGACAACTATAGCCAATGCTGCTAAGTAACTCAACTATCAGAGTACCCCGTAAAACACAAGGGAGTGACAGCATGCTGAGAACCCATGCAATGGATAGTGTACACAGTTGCAGACAGTGGCCCAGTATAAAAAGTAAAATCAAACAAACTGTTATTCTGAAGCATTTTCTCAAAAACTTTTTTTGTCTTTAGAGGACTTTTAACTACAAAGAAGTTGTAGCTATGATTCAGAAATACACCTACAGAAAATCACCACAGCCATAAAAAACTTCCTAGACTATCTGCTTAGCATATACTGGTGACTCAAAAAAGGGGCACTCTTAATTAAATACAGATGGGCTACCTAGATGGTGAAGTGGTAAAAAAAAAAAAAAAAAAAAAAAATCCTCCTGCCAATGAAGGAGGTGCAAGAGACACAGGTTCAACGTATGGGGTCAGAAAGATCTCTTCAGAGTGGGAAATGGCAACCCGCTCCAGTCCTCTCGACTGGAAAATGCCACAGACAGAGGAGCCTGATGGGCTACAGCCCACTGCGTTGGAAAGAGCTGGACACGATCAAGCACGCACACACAATTACATATAGATAGTATCTCAACTACTTTGAATCTGCTTCTTCACTTGGGATGAGAAAAGTAATACTGGTACAGGCTAGGGTTACAGTCAGAAGCAAATAAGAACATAGGTTCTTATTTTACAGCACTTGCTATAAAACAATAAAATATTCTATTATTACTATTATTTAGATACAGTACTAGTTCAACATAAAGTTTTAAAAAGGCACAAATTTATCTAAGAATACAGATAAACATAAAAATCAATGGCCTTGGGTTATACATATTGTATTAAAAGAGACTATATAGAAATAACATTAACTAAGGTGCTAAATTTTTTTTAAAAAGGGAATTAAGAAATCTATAAAAAAAATTCTTGTTCACCTACTCCTAAAGTATGCCTCTGAAAACATCAACTTGTGTCAATGAAGAAGAGAGGGTGCAAGATGAACAACTGGTAGAGAAAAGCTCATAACCCATTGAAGGCACTACTACTCAAGTTCTAGCCAAACATGTATAACCTGGAGTTTTCAACAAAGTCTGACTTTAGAGTTTATTCATCCACTCAATGTTATCAACTTTTGAAAAAGAGAAAATTCTTTGCATGACATTTTGAAATAAAATTTATCAAATAAAACATTTTGGGGAGGCCAGATTCAGCTCTTAACTTCTGAGGTGAAGAATGAGGTATGGACGACCAATGGAGCTTAACTTCATTCTGTTTACATTAAGCCCACACATTGAAATCCTGAAGTCCAGTTCCTAATCCATTCCCACCATCCATTATAGCAGCCTTGTTCAAGGATTAAAGAGGCTTGACTTTCACATTCAAACTCTATATATACACTGGGAGAAAATATTTTAATGCCTTATACATAGAAATAATTTGGTATGGAACCACTCTTAAACTGTTGTTGAAATAAACCCATTATTAAAAACCAAAACAAAACTTTGTTCTCTGTGTAACATTTTTCGTACAACAGTTTCTGAGAAACCTAGTAAAATGTCTTTCATACGTGAACAGCAAATTCTTGTCATAAAACAAAACAGACAAATCTTATACCTGTTTTAAGAGTTTGAAATCAGAGTTCTAATCCCAAATACATTTTAACTGTGTAAATTGACAGAATAATTCATCTTAAATTTTTCATAATAATTTATCTTATGTTTTTCATAACTTAAAAAATTAAAATTGTAGTGCTGGTCCTAAATATACCATAGCCTGATTTAAGGATTAAATAAAATACTGGATATTAAAAAAATCTTTTAAAAATTCCAGAATATCAACCAAAATGTAAGATGTTCTTTTCTAAAGTTTAACAAGGAGAAAGGACTGAGTGTTAAGATTTTTGTATTTTTTGAGGAGTTATGAATTTGTTTAGTTGGCTATTTAAAAAACAACAGTAAAAGAAAAAAAAAAAAAGCCCAGATATACACGTCATAATAATGTAAAAATTTTTGTCCTTGATTTATACTATGAAAGGGTCAAATAGTTAAAATCAAGATCCTTTGAGGACTGAGTCTGATATCATTTGATGTTCTAAAATATATACATATAATAATATATATCATTTAATAACATTTAATACATTTTGGGGATAACTCCATTTTTTATATCTGTTATTTGTATCACTGTGTTTATCAGGCATTTAACAATTAAGTAAATTATAATTTTAATTGCAATGAACTCTCTTTATCACTGAGATGAGAGTCTCTGTTTTACTCGAATGATTAAAAAAAATGTATACGTTAACTAAATGTAAGATAAATTGAACTCACATTTTATTCTTTTACAGTTAAAGGAAAACAATATAACATATATGTTTCTCTCAAAAGTTAAAGAGCTTAGAAATTATAGTCAGTCCTACCTTCAATTTGAATTCAAGCTGCGGCATGACAGATAATAATAAATGGGGATCTATAGCAAAAAGTTCCTGAATCAGATCAAATACATGTTCTGACAAATCACTTACTGATGATCTTCCCAGCACCAGTACTTGATTGAAAAACTAAAGGAGACAGAAACAAAAATAAAATATCCATTTCATTTAAAAACTTGGATTGGCTTTTTATAAACTTGTTAAAAGAAAACTATATAATTAGGCATTCCATATACAAGTGAGGAAGATGAAAAAGAACAGATGTTTCAATTAGTAATATATATAATAGGATAGTCACCAAAACAGAACAAATCCCCAAATATCATCAAATTATGACTGTTATATGAAAAATTTTAAAAGTAATTGAGCTGTTACCTTTCTTTCAAATTAGGATGACAATTCTAGGAATCAACTGTTATTAAAAAAAACAATTTAAATAGTTTATTTAATCCATTATAGAGGATTTTATAGAGAAATTTCTTTATAGCAGACAAAAAATTTTTAATGCCTAAATCTTTTGGATTTTTGAGTAATTTCGGTACTGGGGCTTCCCAAGTAGCCCAGTGGTAAAGATTTCACCTGCCAGTGCAGGAGACTCAAGAGACATGTGATTGATCCCTGGGTTGGGAAGAATCCCTGAGGTAGGAAATGCCATTCCAATACTTTTGCCTGGAAAATTTTACGGAGAGAAGAGCTTGGCAGGCGATAGTCCATGAGGTCGCAGAGTTGGACACGACTAAGCAACTGAGCATGTGTACACACACACATACTTTCTCTATTAATTTAGCAATAAAGAACAACTGAAGGTGGAGGACGAGTTGCTTTTTTTTCCCAAAAATACCCAGAAAGAGACTTCCCCAGTGGTACAGTGCTAAGAATCCGCCTGCCAAGGGTCACAGGTTCAATCCCTGGTCCAGGAAGATTCCACATGCTGTGGAGCAACTAAGCCCACACGGCACAATTACTGATCCTGCGAGCCTTGACTGCTGGTCCCGTGCACCCTACAGCCTGTGCTCCACAACAAGAGAAGCCGCTGCAACAAGAAGCCCACATACTACAACCATGAATTGAGCCCATTTGCTGCACCCAGAGAAAGTTTGAACATTGCAACGAAGACCCAGAGCAGCCAAAAAAACCCCAGAAAGTCAAAAACATTTTAACTCAGAGGACAAAGAGAAGGAAAAGGTGATGATACAAAGGCTGATCATTTAAAAGCATTCTAGGAAAAGGAAACAAAGAGAATATAATACCAAAGTACAAATTAAAAGATATCACCACTCCTTGCTAGCAAAATTAAATTAGAAAAAAACTTTTAAAATGGAAAAATGCTACAGAGGCAACTGTATGGAACTGATCTGAGCATGTTTTTGGTAGTATGATCAAATGATAAATTTCTTTTGAAAGACAACATATATTAAGGGTTAGAAAATATTAATATTTATTGTGAAGAACTTGAAAAGAATAAGGAAAAGAGTTTTAACAAAATTTAAAACTACACATACACATATGAATTCTGAAATGATATATGAAAATCTATTGGTGATGGCTATTTTTGAGAAGTGAGAAAAAGATATTTGAGATTGAAGAAAGACAAATTCACTGTATATACTTTCATAATACTTGAGAAAACTTTTTTAAACCATGCTTAAGTATTTAGTAGATTAAATAATACTAATAATTCATAATATTTAAATATACTTAGACTTTTATATGTAGAAAACAATTACAATAGTAAATAAATACTACATTCACAAAGACTGTACTAAAGAAAACACTGAAAAAAACCTAAATGCAAGGCAAGAGGGAAATGATTAGGTAAATTATATATAAATTCAAAGGAACACTTACAATCATTCTTGTCATAAATAAAAAGATAATGTCAAGAAAAATGATGTCAAGATATGGAAACATAAATGAACAATTCAAAGTTTTATATAAAGTGTGAAAAAACAGGTAAGAGTCTGAGCAATGTTCAATAATGAACTTGTTACATTAGTAATTAAAATTTTTTTCAGAATTACTTTATTGACTTTTTAGTAAAAACAAAAAACACACACGCAAGTAAAAAAACAACTTACTACTCTCTTAACTATTTAAGAGGGAAAGACAAAAAGGCTCAGAAGATCGGTTTAGAGACATGAAGAAGGAACTATATAGACAGAGAGCCACAGATAAAGATGAAGGGAGAAAGTGAAAAAGATCAGCATAGCCAGAAGATAAAAAGACAAAATACGAAGGCACCAGAAGAAACGGCGGGAACTGCAGGCTTAACACCCTCCATCTTGTGCCGTTTAAAAACAATGTCTGTAAGCTTCTAAAGTTATGCTGCACTTGGTTACATTTGGACATATCAGTTCTCTTATATATTTCTTCTAAATAGGTGAAACTGTTTACAGGCTGAATAAGCCTTTATGTGAAGGGTTCTGATAAATTAGTACCTTTATGGATTAAAAACTACAAAATTACAGAAAAAAGATAGGCAGAAATACCTACATTGGCAATGCATGCTTCAATAGTCTGGACTGTCCTTTTCAATAGGACTTTTGCGAGGTCAAAGGACTGTTTATTTAAGTTCTGAAACACAAAAAATACGCAAGGTTACAAATGAATTAATTAATTTACGAGATAATGCCACTAGACCATCAAAGTCTTCAAAGTTCAGAAAATATAAAGCAAAAAATATAACTGAACCACATTCAAGGTTTTACCCAACATCCACTAGTCAAGAGGTCATAAATGCAGAAGTTACAAACAGCACAACCATGAATCAAAAATTAAAATACAAAAAAATAAAAAAACACAGTAGATAATTAGCCAAAAGCTCAACCCTATATTAAGTTTAGTTTTACTAAATCTAAGACTTTTAGGTTTTGTTAACCAGGAGCTGGTGATGGACAGGGAGGCCAGGCATGCTGCAGTCCATGGGGTAGCAAAGAGTCAGACACAACTGAGTGACTGAACTGAACCAATCTGAATTGGCAATCACACCCATTTATCCCTCACACACACACACACACACACCCCCATTATCCTAAGTATTTCACTGTCTAATCAATGTCTGTTCTGAGGAAGAGTGGACCTGGGAAGTGCTTCAAGCAAAATTCTCAATCAGTTATATTTCTGAAATGCTAACTACTGCCTTCATTCCTCAAGATTCCCAATGCATGGTAATAAATTAAAGGGTCTGAGGAAGACTGTGAAAAGATATATTTAATTTTTTAAAAGTTATTGAAAATGGAATCCTTGCGTTGAAAAGTACCTATTAACATCTCTACACTTTGCAGTTTTAGACCAAACAGATTCATTCACTATCATCTTGCACTTATCTCCAAAAAAGACAAGGATATCCTATACCTTAGGTTAGTAGTCAGCAAAATTTTTATGCAAAGAGCCAGATGGTAGATCTGTATTTTAGGCTTTATTGGCCAGCCATATCGTCACCACTGCAACTACACACCTCTGGTCGTTGCAGCAGGAGAGCCACCATAGACACAATGAAAACAAGTGAGCATGGCTGTGTTCAAATAAAACTTTATTTACGTAAATAGGCAGTGGGCCAGATTTGGTCTACAAGCCATAGCTTCCTGACACTTGCTCCAGGTTTTTATTCCATTTCCAAGAGAATAAGATTAGCTCAAAATTAAGGCAATCTTGGAGGAAACAAACAGGTGAGGGAGATTAAGAGATACAAACTTCCACCTGTAAAATCAATGAGTCACAGATATGAAATGTACAGTGTGGGGAATACAATCAATAACTATGTAAATCTTTATATGCTGATACATTATAACTAGATTTAGGTGATCATTTTAAACTGTATAGAAATACTGTGTAACCGCAACTAAGGAAGAGTTATGTAGATCAATTACACTTCAAAAACTAACTCATAAAAAAAGAGATCAGATTTGTAGTTAAGGCAGGGGGTAGGGAGGCAGAATTAGATAAAGGCAGTCAAAAGGTACTTCCAACTAAGAGGTAAGTATGAGTGATATAAACATGATAAATCTATTTAAAAACAGCTATATGTTATATGTGAATGAAATTCATTAAGACAGTAAATCCTAAGATTTATTTCATTTGCAAGAAAAAAATTTTGTTTCTATTTCTTTAATTTTGCAGCTATGAGATAATGGATGTTCACTAAATGTCTCATGTTTAAATGAAATAAATGATTTCATAATGTAGGTAAACTTATACAGTGCTGTATATCATTTATATCTTGATAAAATTAAGAAAACCTTTCTATTTCCTAAAAAGGCATAGTTCTACTCATTAAAAATACGCTCTAACTAGAATACAAACACGAAATACACTATTCCTCATAAAATTTTTCTTTCTTATTTTGTCTAACATATATAACCTCTTTGCCATACTCTCAAAATTTTGATCTATTACAGACTCACTTGAATTTTTTAATGGTGTAAATAATATATCAGGAAAAGAATTTATAATTGGTTGCATCTTATTGTGAATAGTATAAATAGATACATATTTATCAGACATCTGATGACAAGTCACTGAACACTTGGAGGAAAAGAGCGGGAAAGTAAGTACCAACAGTAGGATAGGCCTGAATCCACATCAGTGGTGGACCCAGAGTCGGGGAAGCTAAGTCCTTCGCTTTCTTAGGGGGAGCTAGCAGAAACAAACAGAAAAAGGAAAAAGAGAGGAATAGACTGCTCTTAAACATCCTTTCCCCCTTAACATTAACCATATAGTTTCTGCTTTTGCCCAAATCATTTTCTGAAAGTGCCTAAGAAAAATGTAGGACAGGGGTTCTAAGGAGAAATACCAATTCCTACACTCCGTATCTGTTAGAAAGTAGTAAATACATTTTCTTTTCTAAAACAAAGAACTAACCCAAGACAGTAGTTCAATTCCTTGCAATTCCTATACTAGATATGAGTGGTCAATCTGGAACATTTTTTAATTTTCCAGAGAAGAGGCAGCAGTTAACCAAATGAAAATATATCTTTTCAAGACAACAAGAGCTATAAGGCTTATGTGTGTTACTCTAATTTACTTGGGACTGGAGAATGATAGTGGGAATAATTACATGGGATTGCAAATGGTGAAAAATAAGTTTTCATATGTGTAGTACTACCATTGACCTTTAATATCTTAATATTAACCTTTAATATCTTCATACTATACAGACCTTATGTGCAGGAATGAGGTTAATAAGAATGGAGTCCAATAATTCTTGAGTAACTCCATCACCTTCCATGATGATAGAACTCATCAAGTCTAGCATGTGCATTTGTACCTTCTTATTGTGGCTATTGCTTTAAAAAAAAAAGAGAGAGAAAAAAAAAATTAGGCTTACCAAAGAAAATTAAACTTCCCAGTTTAAAGCAACTATCTCAAATGTAAAGGATTTTTCACTTGAGCATACCACACCAATAATGGCAAAGAAATTGTGGATGTTCCATATTTACTTTGCTCCTCTGGTGATTATTACTAAAACAGCTAAGAAATCACTGTAAACTATTTCACACATACAAAAATTTAATTAAGCCCCATACACCTAGAATTCAAAGAATGGCTTAAATTCAACTAAACGAAGTCTTTGCTTACATACCCCTGGATTTTAAAAAATGACAAACTTTTAAGGAAACAAAAAAATGTACAAGATAAAGAACGTAGATAGCTTTTCATCCCTTTTGATTTTAATAATTCCCCCCAAATGACAGAACTATAAACACAAAAAAGGCCTATGTAAACACCAGCATATCTTTGCCAGTAGAAGTTTTAGTTCAACAATACTGAAAATCCAAAATCCCATGTAAAATGCTACCAGAACTCATGACTTAAGATTCTGAAAAAGTCATCCTGCTGTCTCTCAGAGCATTTCAAACAAACAGATGAAAAATCAGCAAGGTATAAAGCCAGCATCAGTTTCAGTCCTGCTTCATTAGCTAGTGCAGAGTCAAGGGCAGGACTTCTCAATAAATATGTCTAGTGCCGATATAAACTTACCCAAAAAAGACTGGCTACAGAATTGTTGTAAGTCAAGAGAACACCTAGGCTTCTCCCTCTCTGAGTACATCTTAACTAAAGACTAGACCTGTTCGTTTTCACTTTTATCAGAATATATAGGCAAAGACAAATCAAGAGAATGATATAACTTAGTTGTAGTACTACAGACAAAGGGAAGTTTAAATTAAGACTAACCTATTATTATCATTTATGTATCTCTTATCTATAATTTTTAAAAAATAAGCTTGAAATAATGTATAATACACCTGTTGGGCACCTAGTGGTAAAATCAAAGATCAAATTTTTAAAGTTGGTGAAAAACTGTCCTATTGTTAGATTCACAGTTTTCTACAACTTTTAGAAAAATATTCTCTCTCAAATATCTTGCTTATAAAGGCCAAGACTGTGCAAAATTCAATTGTATAGTGGGACGTGTGTGGTGGGGGGAGGTAGACAGTGAAGAACAGAGATACTCAGCTTGATACAAAAAAATGAAGAGAGTATTTAGGTCTCAGATCCATATCATTTGTGAATAGGAAAGGAGTGAAAGAAAGAGAAACAGACTTAAAAATTATTTCCATTAGTTTCAGCCAAGATTCAATAATAGGATTTACTCTTCTACCTGAAACAGTTAAAAAAATATATATATGAAAACATATCAGACCCTATACACATGCTGCTGAAAGAAGGAAAGCTTACTTTTTCTATCTATAAAAGTTTCCAGGCTTCAGTACAGGAAGAGAAGATCCTAGCAGAGCCTAATGGTTTTTCTGAATCTGGAGAGACTAGTTTGCAGGGCAGAATACCAGAGGGGAGAGAACTACTCAGAGAGCAAATGCTCAGAGACTACCCCTGAGTCTTCAGTTGATTAGTGATTAGCATAGGCAGGCGTCTTAAGTCTGGGGAAGGAACCACCTGAAAGGAGCAGAAGGAATACTCCCTGGAATCGACACAGGTCATACAATGTGTGTGTTTCAACTACAGTGGAAAATCTTACAACTCACAAGGCATCTAGTAATCAGAAGGGTAAACCCACATATCCAAGCAGCTCTGTGAGCTCCAAGCACAGCAAACAGGAAGAAAACGCCACTGTGAGACATCATAACTGAATTCTTTAAAACCAGCAATACAGAAAAAATCTTAAGTGGGTAGAGAAAAAGAAGATACATTATTAACAGAGAAACAAAGATTTAAAATGACAAAAACTTATCATTTTTAAAAGTGTAAGCCAGAAAAAGACAGAGGAACATCTTTAAAAGTACTGAGACAGAAAAGAAAAGAGGAAAGAAGTCTATTATTAACATAATATTCATACCGTGAAAATTACTTTCAAAAACAAAGGTAGAATAAGGGTTTTTTTAGACATAGAAAAACTGAAAGAATTCCATCAGCAGTAGACTTGAACTATAGGAAATGTTAAAGTCCTTCAGACTAAAGTAAAATAATGCAAGACAGAAATCTGCATATATACAAAAGAATGAAGAACACCAGATACATGGTAAATGTGTCAATAAATAGAAATCAATAAATTCCTCTTTCAAAAGGCAAGTTTTTTTTACTGATTTACCTCACTGTGATTGTTTTCAATTAAAGAATTAGGTCAAGAATAAATTTAGATCTTTAGATTCAGAAAAGAAAAACATTAAAAGGATCAAAGAAAGTACGTGTATGTAAAAGTAATAGAAGAAAAAAGTGTAACTGCACAGTATGAAGTGGACTTAAGTGGACAGTCAAGGTAACAAAATGGGCAGGATAACAACCCAGGAGTTTCTTTTTCATTTTGTTGGTAATTTTAATATTAAAAGAAAAAATTGTAAATATGTGGCAGAAAGCAAACAATGGCCACAAACTGTTCCCATCTCTGTATGCACACGTCTTTAAAATGCTACTCCCCCCAACAAAACAGGAGTCGATCTAGCCAGCCTTCGAATCTGGGCTTGCCTACGTGCCTCGCTCTGCCATGAAGTGCGCCGAGGATTTAAAAAGTGCTGCTGTGGCGGGGTGTGCCCTTCCTGCAATTTCTGAAACCGAGTCAGCGTATGAAGGGACCTGTACTAGCCTGCTGGATGATAACAGAGTGACATGTGACCCAGCTGTCCTATTACATCAGCCAGTTGCCAGATGTTCTGCTAACTGACTGCAAATACAGGAGCAAGTCCAGCCCAGACACAAAGAACTCCCAAGCCGAATCATGAGCTAAACAAGATGGAGTATGTTTTAAACCATCAAGTTGTGGGTTGCTTTGTTATGAAGCGAAAGCTAACCAACACAAAGGTAAAGTTTCTACATTCTATCATTCCCTTAAGGGCCTTCAGTTAGTTGTCACAGGAAGTTTTTTCTCATGCAATCTTTTTATAAGCTTCTATCACTAGACTAGGTTGGTCCAGTTTATCCCACGTTATATTCTCTTCCTACCATTCTAGCTAAGGAAAAGAAAAATATGTAATAGTATTCATTAGAAACATACAGAAAACTTCAGAAATGTTCTATTCAATACCGAAGTCGCTATGCAATAGCCATTTGCTACTGCCCTATCTAGTAGGATAGATAGAGCCACATGCTGAAATACTACTAATGCTTTCTGGATATACTGAAATAAAATATATTATTTAAATAAATTTCATTTGTTTCATGTTACCTTTATTAATGTGGCTATTAGAAAATTTAAAATATATTTGAGATATATTGCTTGTATATAATGTAATGCTACAGAACACATGGTTTATTAAAACACACACACACAGACACCAGGATGAAGCACTGGATTGAAATCTCACCCACCCACCCACCGGACTGAAATCTCATACATACACACACACACACACACACACACATACACACCCACACACACCAGGATGAAGCACCAGAATGAAATCTCTCACACACACACACCAGGATGAAGCACTGGACTGAAACCAGAGTTCTGGCTCTACTGCTCAGCAATTTGTCCCTGGACAAGCCACCGCACTCCTCTGCACATGCGTGCTCCTACTTACATAAGGAAAGAGCAATGCTTGCAATTTTTTTTTAAGCTTTAAAATGAATAGATATTGAAGTCAGTGTGCTCAGCCACTGAGCTATTATGCTTCCCAGTACTCACTAATGGTACCTATGATACTTATAATTTCCACCTCCTAATTGAGTACTTCATTATGTAATATAAGGTCTCATATCATTTGCTTTATAAGAGTCAACCTATACAATTGATGGGCTTCTCTTGTGGCTCAGTGGTAAAGAATTTGCCCTGGGTGGTGAAAATCCCCTGGAGAAGGAAATGATAACCCATTCCAGTATTTCTGCCTGGGAAATCCCATGGAAAGAGGAGTCTGGTGGGCTACAGTCCATGGAGTCACAAAGAATCAGACATGACTTAGTGACTAAACAACAACAATATACAATTAATCGATACCATAACTTAAAATGTCAGTATAAAGACAAAGAGAGCTTTCAGACAACAGAATTATTTTCCTCTTTATGTTTTCTAAGGAAAACATTTCCTTTTAACTAAAAGATCTTAGTATAAATACACAGTACATGATAATTCAATATGCAGAGCAAGAAAAAGAGACAAACAGAAATGCTTAAAAAATAACTTACTTGATCACTGAGAAGAGAGTCCTAAAAAGCTGAATAAAAATTTCATTGCAATCTTCCAATTCAAAGCAGATGTTATATGATTTAACCCACGCTAAATTCTTAAATAAATAAATAAATAAGATTATTCACACATACAGAGAATAGTTATACAAAAGTAGGCTCATTAATAAAATTTAATTTTTAGAATTAGAAATCTATATTAAAGCTTATAATACCCCAACATATATAAAACTACAATTGTTTCAGCAGTCATGTACTCTGACCTTTAAAAAGATAAGTATCTGTTGGCATTAACCTTTTCTTACTGAAAAATACTAAACTGTCAGAGGTTGGTAGGACATATATATATACAAAATATTAACTGCAGTGAAAATTAATTTGATTTAATCTCTTTTGGGATTAGGAAAGAATAAAAACATGAAAATAAAGTCTCAATGTAACAGTTTTGCACATGGAATATGAAGAGATGAGGAATGAAAAAAAATATTGTAAATGACATTTTCCTAAGTGGGCTTTGTATAAAACAAACAAAAAGATTCATTTTACATTATAAAGTTACTATAAAGAATTTCCTTCAACATGAAACAGTGATATTTATTAAATAAAAAAAAATTTACCTCTAATAAATAAAAGTATCTATTAAATTGCGGGCTCTTTGTATCTTCCAAACCTTTTAACTGTCTGGTAATAAACAAAAATATGTCCTGTTTTAAAAAATGACAAAATATATTAATTTAGACACAAATACTTATTACTTTCACAATATCCTAACAATCTGTATATATATTCTCTATTAAAGACAACAATAAAAGAAAATTATCCTTGGCACTAGCCTAGTCCATTACTCAAAATATCTGGAAAAGAGCAAATTATTTAAAATTACATCCTTTAGAAGCAAAAATAAAGACAATTACTGCCACATATCTTTAGGCTTTCTCATTCTGAGAGAATCATAGGTTCTATATCTCGTTACCCTTTCTTCCAGTACAGAACTTCTACTTTATTCACTATCTTTATATTGTATCACGGTAATTATCTTCAGTTAAAGTACTTGGATATGAAATACTTCCATTACAATTCCCTAGATGTAAATAGTAATTTTCAAGACCTATTTAATAGACTGGTCCAAGGGATTGTACTTTTCACAACAGTGCTCTATTTCTTAATAAGCTTTCTTTAGAAGTTTCAACCCCAAATAGTATCAATATGGAATAAACTGATTTAAGGGCTTTCTGAAAGTATTCATAATATGAAAACAGTTTAAGAGATCTACTCAAAAGAGGAGCTCCTCAAACTTTTCAAACAAAGACAGAACCATCAAGATGAGCATATAGCTTTGCATATAAAATAATCTGCAGAGGAAAACAGTCATTTGAATGTGTGAATTCTGTTATATAGTTGTTTTAAAAAGTGTCATTCATCCACCATCCCTTCAACTCAGTCATCTGGGCTTTCAGATAGGTTATCCTGAAGTTCAGATATTAGCAGACAGGGACCATTTTGATCTGTATCTTTCAAATGTCTCATAAAATTACCAGTCATTTTATGGATATTCAATGAATATTAATTGAATAAATAATTATTTTGTTTTTAGAACTTATGACATAATCTTCTTATGATGACAAGATGATTAAAATGAAACCTATGTTTCTAAGGGTATTAAGCTAAACTACAAAAGAAAACCAATTTTGTAAAGGTTGTATTTACCTTAAGTTTATCATGGGAAGTATATGGAGCTTCTGGGGCATAGATTCGAAAGATGTCAGCCAAACAACACGCTACAAGGAGACGCACATCTTTATTGGGATTCCTGAGAAAAAATTCAGACGCCAGATGCAAGGCTAGAGGGAGGTACTGCTGCTTCTCATCCTCTGAGTCCTGATCCATGTCCATGAAAGTCTTCACTACCATCTGCAAAGATGCGCAAGAGACAGCGTCACGGCCTGGCACGCAGAAGCCGGCCAGAGGCATACGCATGCACTCACCCCCCTGCAGAGCAAACGAGCAGCCAGCGACTGTGCGCGCCTTCACTTAGGGATGAGTCAGACCGCAGCATGGGCAAGCACAAACATCAGGACTAGTGACAGACGCATGATCTGCATTGCACCAATTTACGAAGCGCTTAAGACCCCCATTATCAATGTTGTATCTAGCTCAGGTAGAAATTTCACGGCTTGGGACTTACCTGTCCAGTAGCCAAGAATTTGCCTTCCAATGCAGGGGATGTGAGCTCAATCCCTGGTCAATGAACTGAGATCCCACATGCTGTGGGGCAACCACTGAGCCCTGTGCGCGCTGGAGCCTGCGCGCCAAGTCCCTCCAGTCGTGTCTGACTCTGCGACCCCACGGACTGTAGCCCCCCCGCTCCTCTGTCCATGGCAGTCTCCAGGCAAGAACACTGGAGTGGGTTGCCCTGATCTCCAGGGACTCTTCTGACTCAGGGGTTGAACCTGGGTCTCCTGCATTGCTGGCAGATTCTTTACCCTCCGAGTCACCAGGGCGGCCCCTGGAGCCTGTACTCCGTAACAAAGACCCAGCCCAGCGGGGGGGAAAAGAAAAGTTCATAGCTTCGTGTGCATGCATGCTAAACCACTTCAGTCCAACTCTTTGCAACCCTATGGACTGTAGCCCCCCAGGCTCCTCTGTCTATGGAATTCTCCAGGCAAGAGTACTGGAGTGGGTTGCCATGCCCTCCTCCAGGGGATCTTCCTGACCCAGGAATCGAACCTGAATCTCTTACGTCACCTGCATTGGCAAGTGGGTTCTTTATCACCAGTGCCACCTGGGAAGCCCTGGCAGCTTCATCCCCCCAAGCAAATCATTTGATATTTTGTAACATTATCAATTATGTTTCTTTTACACTTATTATCAAAGCTACCTTGATTTGGGCTCCTTAAAACTATTAAGTTTCACACTTTAATGGGTTTTGCAATTCACAACAGAAAGCACTAAAGAAATAAAAAGAAAAAATAATAAATATTGTTAGGCAGTTATATTTCTGATTAAAAGTCTTAATTATAAAATAAGCTCTGGTCTTATTTATGGTTATAAAACTAACAAATGCACATTTCAGAATCACTCTAAAAGGCAAAAAAAAGTGTAATGGAAAAATAGCATAATTTCTTAACTCCAGAAAGTAATCACTATTTACATTTTGTGTATTTTATGCTGGTCTGTTTTCTCTATAAAGATGGAAATAACCATATAGTTATTTCTTTTTCATTTATCCAATCACAACCATTTCCTCATACCATAAAAAATGCTTCTTTAAATAAATCAGCCTTACCTAACCAGTAACCACTGTCAAATATTTAAGCTGTATCTCTGTTTCTATTTTGACAAGACTTCTTATGATGAATAAACTCTGGTTTGTTTCTTTTTGCGTGCCTGTGCCCGGCATGCAGGATCTTCGTTCCCTGACAAGGGGCTGAACCCTTGCTCCTGCACTGGGAGGTGTGTTCTCAACCACGGGACTACCAGCGGAGTCCCATTGTGCTCCGTTTTTTTCCAGATACATTTTTTTCCCCCTTGTCTACTGAAGTGACACTTTCCTCCTAATTCTGTTACTAGAATAAATCCCACTGACTGGTTTTCTAATTACAATTTCAATGATTCACATACACTGTCTTAAAATACAGACAGGTATAGTATAAATGACCTAATCTGGAAAACAACACACATGAGGATGACTGTAAATCACTGTTTCTCACAAGTCTAGATACAAACATCAGGAATGGAATAAAGAACTGAATTTGCTGACTCTGTTATACATGGCTTTGTGCCCACAAGAAGGGAGCAGTAAAAATGGGAACAGTCAACATCTGGAGAATACAGGAGCTCTCTGTACTATTCTTGCAACTTTTCCAAGTCGGAATATATAGCAAAAGGAAAAGTAAAAATGGAAAAGAATACATTTACCACAGGATATGGGAAAAACATACTCATATTAATAGTTGAAATGAAAGTCTTACCTGAAACACAAGTAAGACTTGTGTTTTTAAAAAAATTTAACAAATAATGTTAAATATTAATTGGGGGTGGGGAGGATGCATTATTCTTTTCCTGATTTTAAGAGAACATATTTACCTATATATCATTAGCTTGATCTAGAGATGTTACTGAAAGAGAAATAAAATCACATGTATAAAGTATTCTAATTGTACTTTAAGAACTTTTAAATCAGAAATGCGTAAGGCACAGTGATTTACAGTCATCCACATTTGTGCTGTTTCTCCTAGGCTCAGCCGTTCAGGTGATACTTCTATCTCATGACAGTGTGTGTGGTGCATTCCTTCTCAACGTTCTGAATCCCAACAAGTCCCAAGGACCAGAGGTCCTTTTTAAAATCATTATTTCTTATCACACTACTATTACTTCATCCAGAGCTTTCTTTCTTTTGACATGTTTTGAAATATTTGTGTCTATTCCACTTCATTTTAACACAAATTAACACACAGCTGAGAAAAATGTTTCCCCAGTTTTAGAAATGATTTCTTTCACCCAACTTTTGTCAGGAGAAGAATTTTTAACTGTCTTGTTAACAGCTGTATCCTCAAAGATTAGAATAGGATGACACAAAGCAGGCATGCCAACTTTTTTGGAAAGAACATTCAAATTCATTACCTGGAGAAAACCATAATTTGAAAAGATACATGTAACCCCAATGTTTACTGCAGATCTATCTACAACAGTCAGGACATGGAAGCAACCTGAATGCCCATTGACAGAGGAATAAAGAAAGAAATGTGGTGCGTACTTGCTTAGCCGCTCAGTGGTGTCCAACTCTTTGTGACGCTATGGACTATGAAGCCCACCAGGCTCCTCCGTCAATGCGATTTCCTAGGGAAGAACACTGGAGTGGATTGCCATTTCCTTCTCCAGGGATCTGCCCAACACACGGATCAAACCTGTGTCTCCTGCTTGGCAGGCGGACTCTTTATCCCTGAGCCACCTAGAAAGCCCCAAAGAAATGCAGTACCTATATACAACAGAACTATTACTCGGCCATAAAAAGGCATGAAAGAATGCCATCTGCAGCAACATGGATGCGCTGAAGAGACAGTCATAATGAGGCAAGTATGTCAGACAGAGAAAGACAAATACCATATAACATCACTTAGTGTGTGGAAGCTAAAAAAATGGTATAAAAGAATTTGTTTACAAAAGGGACCCAGAGTCACAGACCTAGGAAACAATACTATGGTCACCAGAGGGGAGAAGAGGGGTGAATGGAAAGGCTGGAACTGACCGATGTGCACTGCTGTGTATGAAACAGAGAACCGGTAAGGACCCGCCGTGCAGCTCAGGGAGCTCTACTCAGTACTCTGTGATGATCTGTCATAGGAGGAGAACCCAAAAAGCAGGGATTTATATCTAACTCACTCACTCTGCTACACAGCAGAGACTAGCACACTGTAAATCAACCATATCCCAATTGTTAAAATTTACTTAGAACACCAAAGAACCGAGCAAACCGTTAAGATTCAATAAAGATGAGAAGGAGGTACAAAAATGTTTCTCGTATTATTCTCTATGAGTGTTTGAGATATTACACAATTGTAAGGAGTCAATTTGATTAGGTAAAATGAACTTTGTTTTTTAAAGGGTTTGGGTTGCAAGTTTTCAATAAGACTTGAGCTACTTGGGAGATTTTTCAGAAAAACTATTTCAACTGTGTTCCAACTTTGAGGTTCCTACCAGCTCTGGTAGGGGGCAACAAGACAATGCGGGCGGGGGCAGTGCATGGTGTCTCTTAGTTACTTGCATCTGAGCGGCTGGCTTTTCAATAGCTTTATATATTGACCTACTGTATCTGGGCCAAAAATCAGTGCGCCAGGCTACCTCACATAAATACTACGAAGCTTTGGGGGCAGGGAGGGTCAGGAGTTTGGGATTAGTACTTGCAAACTGCAGAGAATGAATCAACACTAAGTCCTACTTCTGTATAGCACAGGCAGCTGCAGTCAACGTCCTGGGAATATATGCACGGATAACTGGATCACTTTGCTGTAGAGAAGAAATTAACACAAACTATGCTTAATAAAACTTGTATAATTTATGAAATGCCTTTTAAACATCTACTGGATAATATATATTATGTATATTTTTAAAAATATGACCCATATGGCCCTACCATGCTGGCAGAAAACTTTATCAGTTCTAGATAAAGACCAGGTCAATCAGTATATAACATCTGTTGGCTAGAAATTTGTTCAGAATTCTTGAGTAAGTATATTCTAAACACAGGTCTATAGCAGAAGTCACAACTCAAGGGGAGGGAGATACAAAATAACCACTGGGGAGAAATGGAGAACACATGCTCCATCCAAAGAGTTGGCTTCAGTTAATTGCTGTCTGGTGAGAATGCAGACCTAGTATAGAAAATCATTCAGTTGATCAGGACACAATAAAATGTTAAGTGAAATCATCTGACTTGAGAATTTCAGCAACTCCAAAAAGTTCATACCATTGTGAGGGATAAGCAAAACACATCTATGTGGTCCTCAAGTCAACAATATTCAAACTGTTAGAAATATTTTAAAGGAAAAATGTCAGCACACAACCATCTTTTCAGATAGGCAAAGTATTCTGAAAAGCTGATTCCACAATTCTTTTGCACTTAAATAGTTTTCTTTAAGTATAAAAACTATGAAGAAAAAAGTCAATACACTGATTATTAAAATCCAGAGAACCTTCAAAATATTAATGAGGAGTTTTCACATTGTCCTAAGCTACAACACAGAAAATACCATTAAATTAACATTTTCCACACCAAAAAGTAATGGTAAAGACAGACCACTCTGGAATCTATGAAAAAAAGAAAAATCACTTCCCAGTAGGATAAAAGTCAAAATTTGAAAGGAACATCTAAGAAACTTTTAAAAAATAGAGTGTCTTTACGATCTTGAGTA